CTTCTTTTCACAATCTTGGGATTGATCATATTCACCTGCTGGGTTCAGAATACCTGGTTGTTATTGTCGCTCAGCAGATCCAGCCTAACATGTAGTTGATCTTGTCCTTGCTTACTGTCATACAGCTCAGCACTTGAAAGTAACCCAGGCATCAGTAACTCTATATTTTCAGGTCTGCTTCTTAACTATTGATAAACTATTATTAATTGTTTGATAATATATTAATTGACAGAAAGATTCATTCGCAAACAAACGTAGAAACGTGTTACAATCATATCTTGCTCCTGGCATTTGCAAAGCAGCTTGCAAATCACTTGCAAATATAAAGTGATGGGTTTGTAAGCGAGCCACACCTGTTACTTGTTTAATCTTTCCTCTCGTTGCAGCCCTCGTGTGGATCATCCCAGGTGCCTCTCGTCTGCTCCCTCGTCAGTGATGTGTGCCTCCCTGTCTTGAGCTCCCCAGTCCAGTCATTGATGTTGTGGCCTGCTTGTGCGCCCCAACTTGCTCTGCATCCTGTCTTCTCTCCTGATTGTCCCTACCCTGTTTTGACCCCTCGTGGCCCATTTCCTAATGCTTTGCTTGGTGTTTTTGGCTAAATAAGGCCCCTTTTGGTTTTCTCCACGCCTGCCTTCGTTTACATCCTTCCCTAGATGTGACACTAAGGCTCCAGCATAACTAATTTTAGTTTACTAATTCATAGCTTTATACTTGGAGTTGAAGTACAAACCTTTTAGTAAAAACTATTTGAGACAGGAATAAGATAACTTTGTAAGACGTTTCTAAATCTTATTGTAAGCAAATCTTTTTATTTACTAATATCCTATCAAACAAGAGTTCACTAATAGTTTAGGAGAAGACCTTGAACTAAAGTGTTGCCCAGGACATCTGAGTCGGTGACCTCAGTTCTGTCAGAATGAAACACTCAGAGATCAGCCTATCATAGAGGAAAGGTTTGACAGGCAGAAATCCTTGTGTCATGTATGGACCCAGTTAACATTGTAATAATCTATATTATAATGTAATAATCTTCTTTAACTTTAAAGTTAAAGAAGAGGCTAGTCAAAATGGAAGTAATTAATATTGGGTTTTATGGTTATAGCGACCAAACAGTGAAATAAAAATAAATAAATAACATAGGTAAACAGCATGAGCAAATAATACCACAGTGATATCTCTGGTGTCGCTGATGTACCCAATTACAGTTGTCATTGTTATGTGTTTTGAAACTTTGACAAAGTTCTTTTTTTACAATTTTGTCCTGTGGCCATTACACTTTGGTGTTTATGTTTTTATTGGAAAAATGGTTAAAATAATATTAGTTCTTATTGAATTCACATCCTGTTAGCAATTATATGAGGAAAGTGTGGGCCATGCAAACTGTGGAATGAGATTAGGATGCTGTCGTTACATACTCCTCTGCAGTTTGCTTCATCTTGATTCATTTAGTAATATTACTGTATTTCCCTCTACAATAAGCAAGGACACAGATTTGAATCCAGTGGGTTCTCTTTATTTGCCACAAGCTTTTATTAAAGCTCAGTAATACTGACTGTATGATTGTAATACCAGAGTCTCATTTAGCCTGATTTTGAGTATCAGCAGTCATATTCAAGTAGTACACAAGCCATTTTTCTGTCTCAAACTTATAAAAACACATAGAAGAAACAAATTAAGTCTGAAAATGCTTCACAGCAACCACATAATTATAGTTTTAGGTAATATTTATGATTCATATAATCCAAAGACTTCATCCAGCTTAACAAAATAAGTTCCCCTCATACTGATATTTGCAGTCAACTATCCTTTTGCTAGTTCAATTATCCCAGCTAGTGTAGATGGGAAAGTAGCGTACTGGGGTTAGTCGTTCAGAAGTCTTGGGACAGCCCTCTTGGCTTGCATGCATGATGCACAATACTGTTTTTTACTTATTTGTTTAATTTATTAGTTTAATTTTAGGGTTCGCTTACCGTTTTATGATGATTTGTAGTGTGTTCATTGTTCTGTGTCTGGTTATGTTACCATTGTGTTTATGGCATGTTGTAAATTAATTTCCTGACAGTCCTTTGTTGATTGTTGTTCCCTTGGTGGGCCCCGTACTGTTATGTGATTCTCAGTCTTGCGTGGTCTGTCAGATCCAGGACTCGTTTTACAAAGTGAGATTTGTTAGCTATCTTGATAACTTCTCAGAAGGTGCCCCAGTTTAAATGGACTTTATCTTCATTCACGTACATCCATCCATTGGGGCACAGTTATGCTGGAACCTCACCAAAACATAATATCCAGCATGACCAGTGAACTGTCTGTACTGGGCTTTTGGGTATGTTGTGTGGGCACTGGTGTTTGAATTGTGTCAGAGGTCTTGGGTTCTTGACGGTGGGAACGGGAGGGTGGTGATGGAGGCCTGGAGTGATTCTATTGAATAATTGATAACTGGTAAAATTTCATCTGTTTCTCTTGGGTGGGCAGAGGATTTTACCACTGAACTGAAGCATTTCTTGGACACTTTCAAAGTAGTCTGTAGTGACAATAAATGCTTGGTTCGCAATCAATTTTTTTAGAGGATATTTATTATTTTAAGAATATTTTTAGGACTATACGATACAAACTGTATTCATCTGACCTAACTCTAAAAGTCAAAACATTTAATTATTATGCTACTTAATTTGACAAGTTCATACAGCTGGCCATGTACTGAGGCATTTCACGTTGGCTGCATTGTTCAAAATGATGACTCATTGTTCAAAAGATAACCTTATGTACCAATCTACCAATCAAGCAAATTAAGTGAATATTTGGCCAAGATTAGGGCAATGCTGTTATACATAATGTTACATCATATTAAACTGTTTACAAATATGAATGACCAAGACAGAACGAGATACATTTTATGGTAGTACTACACCATATTGACAAAATTATTGAGTCACCTGGCCATTACACATACAATAACTTTTATGACATGCCATTCTAAAGCCATAAGCATCAATATGGAGTTCTCCCCCACCATGCAGCTATAACAACTGCCACTCTACTGGGAAGGCTTTCCACAACATTTTGGAGTGTGTCTGTGGGAATTTTTATCCATTTATCCAGAAGAGCATATGTGAGGTCAGGCACTGATGTTGGACGTGAAGGCCTGGCTCACAATTTCCATTCTAGTTCATCCCAAAGGTGTTTGATGGGTTTGAGGTGAGGGCTCTGTAAGGACCAGTCAAGTTCTTCCACACCAAACTCACCCATCCATCCATTGGGGCACAGTTATGTTGGAACAGAAAAGGGCCTTCTCCAAACTGACCCAACAAAGCACAGAATTATGCAAAATATCTTGGTATGCTGAGCAGGGACGGATTACGGACTGGGCCAGCGGGGCCGCTGCCCAGGGCCCCTTGGGGTGCGGGGGGCCCGTGGGGCCCCTAGCCCAAAACAATTTGCAACGCTTATCAACAATGTATTTTCGTTTGTCTATTTTAGAGGGTCTACATTTTTTGATCCTCTGCCTACAAGGGCCCCTGACCCTATAGGGCCTCTGATGGAAACATGGAGGGAGGGCGTTTGGCTGCCAAGGGCCCTTGAATTGTGGTGGTTGTGGTGGTGGTGCTGGTGGTGGTGCTGGTGGTGGTGGGGGGGGGGGCCCTCGCGAACGTTTTGCCCAGGGGCCCACACAACCCATAATCCATCCCTGATGCTGAAGCATTAAGAGTTCCCTTCACTGGAACTAAGGGGTCTAGCCCAACCCATGAAAAACAACCTCGTACTATTGTCCCTCCTCCACTAAACTTCACTGTTGGCACAATGTTGTCAGGCAGGTAACGTTCTCCTGGTATCCGCCAAACCCCAGACAGAGAAGTGCGATTCATCACTCCACAGAACACGTTTCCAATGCTACAGAGTCCAGTGATGGCGTGCTTCACACTGCTACAGAGTCCAGTGGCGGCATGCCACACCACTTTACACCACTCCATCTGACGCTTGGCATTGTGCTTGGTGATGTGAGGCTTGCGTGCAATTGCTTGGCCATGGAAGCCCAATCCACGAAGCTCCCAGCACAGTTTTTATGCTGGGGTTAATGCCAGAGGAAGTTTGGAACTCTGCAGTTATTGAGTCAACAGTGCAGTGGCGACTTTTACGCACTATGCGCCTCAGCATTTGGCAACCCCGCTATGTTACTTTTTGTGGTCTGCACTTGGGACTGAGTTTCTAAAGTTCTACATGCTTCCATTTTGCAATAATATCTAGCAGGAATTACATTTTACAAACTGACTAACAGCAAAGGTGGCACCCAATGTCAATAGCATGCTTGAATTCTCTTTCTTTCACAGATGTTTGTAAACCTGACTGCATGGATAGATGCTTGATTTAATACACTTGTGGCAATGGGTCTGAATAAAACACATGAATTCAATGATTGAGAAGTGTGTCCCAATACTTTTGTCCTAATAGTATAAGAATTTTCATGGGCATGAATTGAAGAATCCCCATGAAAAGTAGACAATGCACCAGGAGCATATAGAGGCAGTGTATGGTTCAGGAGGCTAAGCCTCTGTGTTTATGAGTAGAAGGTCCCTGGTTCAAATCTGGCCTCACCAGAATAGTCACATCTGTGAGCTTTTAATCTCCAGCTCCATAGGTATAGCTGGCAAGCTTGGAATGAAGCTTATTTTCACCTATACATGCCTTTGTGTGTCATGGTGAGGAAGAGAGGGCAGGTAAAAACAGATCTTCCCCATGGTGATCAAGAAAGTGTCATTGTTATCATGTTTGTGAATTTGCCACATGTAAAATCTTGCATTCAGTGTATTGATTTATGCACATATGTAACTATTTATGGATGGATGGATGATTTACCTATGATCTCTCAAAAATGAAAGTAGAATAATTTTTGGTCCTTATAACGAACTATGTATTGTAGCACGCTGGAGGATAAGGCGAATGTGGGAAAATAAAACAAACACGGGGACCTGTAATGCGCGTTGCTGCATTTATGTAGGTATAGTTTGTCCCATTTGGCGTACCGTACGCAAGTGCCCTTGCATGAAAGCATGGCGAGCAGAACCGGCGTGACATTGGAAAGTGATTTAATGAGATATGCCGAATACGCTCCGAAATCTACAATTCGGAGTGAAGCAGACGTTGATAAACGGGTTGTAAGTGTACTGAAGTTTAAAAAATCTTTATTTGGTGCGACACCTTTCGGTAGTTTCATAGTGAGTTTGATAGTAACCTAATTAGCTCTGTACATTGTGTTCTCATTGAGATGATAATAAAATTGTTTTAGCTGTCAGTGTTGGATTAATTTAACCCATTAAACGTCGTCATGTAGCGTGTTCACATTAGCAAGTCGGACATACAGTTGTTCACCTGACTTTTTAGTAGGTTTTGGTAGTTCTGGGGTCGTTCTTTAATGTTGCGATAATGTCCAGGTACTTGATCATGTAAAGTAGTGTGTAGGAGGCACTACGGCTGAGTTGCGTTGAATCGCCTTGGGAAACGTTTAATTTATTATACAGGGTACCTTAGAATTGGTACTATAATGTTAGCTTTCGCTAAATAATCGTATGTAAGCCTAAATCGCATAGTACAGTTTTAGTGATCATTCGCTGAAGTGTTTTTTTTTTTTTTGGCGTAGAAATTTTTGCATAACGTTTCGCGTTTTCTGCTTTGCCAATTGATATAGGCCTAAATTGAGGGATAACCTAGAAATAACTACATTTTCTTTTTTATATATAGGGTGAGGTTTTGATTGCTGTTGGTCTTGGTGTTGCCGCTGCAGCTTTTGCAGGTGAGAAACTTTCCTGAATTGTTTCTGTACCTGCTATTATTAGAGGTATTTTGTCTGCTTATCAAGTCGGCGATATTTAGAATTAAGCTGGATATTTTACTGCATCAGTTTAGGCTGAGTACAGTGTTCAGTAGTACTACGCCAGGGCCCTTCCTGGAACTTGAACCACAACTATTATGCACGTTGAAATGATGAAATCCTGTGCCCGGGTGTCCACAAGTAGTTTGTTGATTTTACAACGTTGATTGGCTCTTTATTTCAGTGGGAAGGGCAGCCCCAAAGTGACTGACCTGCAGGTTGAATGTCAAATTCACATTGGAGTCAGTATCGTCAAATTAAAGTGGAGTAGTACCGAATCTAAATAATTTTCAGCCTATCAGAAACCTCCTTAGTGATTGTCTATATTGGTCTTTGTCTTCCTTTCAATTAGATAGATGTAGAAAATAATCAAACATTGATATTAATACACATGACATCCATTATTCTCTCTTATGTTTTAGTGTCTGCATTCAAAATGGTTCATTCAATAATTATGAACAATACAAAAATTAAGAAAGGCTTCGCTCCCAATTTCTTTCACGTTTTGCTGTGCTTAACTGTAATACTGAGTCATCGAAATAACAGACATTAAAAGACTACACTTTGCATGATCGGGTTTATATTTGTTTTCGAAACATCTCTGCACAGACACGTTTGGGGATAGTGCCTTCTTCAGAGTGATATTCACAATATTGGGGATAGTGATAGTGATATTCACAATATGTGCATTCAAACCTTAAATAATCACACATGTAATACTGAGCAGCTAAATGGCAGTTCAAGAAGTGTCTCATAGGGCATCACCATTGCACACCCTTGGATACACCCGCAACTACAGCTAATCACTCCACAAAATCGGCAAAATTCCGTTATGACATTAACATAGTTTTATGCAGGGGTGTCAGAAGCTTTTTGAATGTGGGGGGACACACTGGCTTAAAACTAATATTTTATGTTAAATGTGGGGGGGTCCAAACGTATAATTATAAAATGTGAGGGGGACACGTCCCCCTTAGATTTAATGGCAGCAACGCCCATGCTTATATGGCAGTTCATACTCACTCATAATTGACATAATAATATTACTGATACATGATATGAATAACCTAAAGATCAGAAGAAACAAGTAAGAGAAACGTACTCATTCCTGCCATTCGACTGTGTGACTTAGAATTGCAAAATGTATCATTTTCAGACCATACACTCCATTCAGCTTGAATAGCGACACTTAGTGGCATGTCTTTTAAAACTGATCAAAGTGGCAGATGGAAGGCATGAAAACTGAACTGGCCGTCAATGAGTGGTTTGGCGTTTAAGTGGCGGGTGGTTATCCGCAGTTTAAAATGCACAAAATAAACTGCAATGGCTCAGTGTACGGCTGCCAATAACGACAATCTATGGATTAATCTGTTTTACCGATTGGTCGATTGATCTGAATGATTAACCTCCCTCCAGAAAATCAAACCGACCGTAATTTAAATGAAGTTTATTTTGACAACAACTAGCTATGTTATTGCAGGGCTTTAGATGATGGACGTCGGCTTATTGGCACTTTACAGACATTATTTTTTATATTCATATTTAGTTCTAATGCAAGAACTCATGGCCATAGGTGGAAATTAGCGGGAGAGTATATTAAAATGAATTAGAGATAGCATTTCTTTAAATCAGAGCTAGATAAGATTTTAACAACTCTGAGCTATTAGTTGAGTTATCCCCAAATGAGCTTGATGGGCCGAATGGCCTCCTCTCGTTTGTACATTTCTCATGTTCTTATTTAGTTTAAATTATTTTCGCCCACATAAGCTTAAAATATTAATGAGATACGTATTGTTATGCCCAAAAGTCAGTGATCTGTATAAATTCGGCGTATCCTCACACTTATTAAATTCGGTTAACGTGGAACGCCACATGCTACTGTTTTGGTAAATCAAAGGAAGCGATAAGCACTGAAGTCAAGAAAGGGACAGATCAACAGCCACATCATCTTTTTAAAAATCAGATATTGTGCATAAATAAGGCAAAAAGAGTTTGGTGTGGCATTGCTTTTTGCCGATTAAAGTCCGACACGTTTTTTTTTTTGTAATTATAGGTTTCATTTTTATTTCAGTTCACAAATTATTTTTAGTGTCCAATTCATTTCAGTTTTATTTTCCCATAATAATACTGGTCCCAACATTGAGTGCATTTAGCAGCTACAAGGACAAAATATATTAAAATGCTCTCCATACTAGGGCTGGGTGATATGATTTCAAATCAATATCACGATTAATTGAACATTTTACCTTGATTACGATTAATGAACAATTAATTTATTTCAAATTTCAGTACTGCACAAATTATAATTCAAATACGCTGTAATACAATATCGTGCATAGAATATAGCTTATTGTAGTTTCGCTGCTGTGTCTCTGGCTCATTTTTGGTGGGTTATCATAAACTTTCATGAGTCTGTGTTCATAATTCAGAGAAAATGCCTCTTTTCCCCGTCATTTTCTGTACTGTAACGACACTGACCAGAAGACTCTAGAAAATCTGTTCCTGCTGTCCAGTTCTCTTTTCTTTTTCATTGTCTGCATTTTAATAACTGAACCATTAATTCTTCTGGGCACAGGCTCTGTCAGAATAAGGCAACATTTTCTTAAAATCCAAAAGCAAATGGGGAAAATTCCTTCCAGCGTGTGTCTTGCAGGCTGTATCTTTGTACTGCTCATTTTGTGTCTCATATAATGCCTTAGAGAAGCTTGACGAACTTCTCATTCATTTTCAGGCTGAATAAGCTGCCTTGGAGAACAGAGAGTGGTTTGAACAGCTTTTTCCCTTTTCTGTTGTAGGGCGCTATGCATTTCAGTTATGGAAGCCTCTTGGTCAAGTTATCTCTGAGACGGTAAAGAAAATGCCTTCCTCGGTAAGAAGATGATGGTTTTCGTTTAATTTTGGTATTTTCATTATTTCTTTACATAAAGACTAGTCCTCAGTAGATGATAAAAAAACATGATAGATCCACATGCATAGGTAGTTTTGCATGGAGATGTAGTTCTAATGAACAGCATTTAGAGGTTATCTACCACTAACAGATGTGTGGTTTTCCAGTTTGTCAGCCCATTGCCTACTGAATTCCCACACCACAGCTTTTCAAATGGAATTAGTACCTCATGGCTTTATCTGTGTAATTATTGTAATAATTTTTTCATGACTAAATTTAAAAGTATGCCTACACTACACACCCAAACATTTAAGGCTACTGCACACTGTTACAGAAGGTATTCATTAACATATTTGTTAAACTTGAAATAGAGTAAGCTTGCCATCATTTGTAAAAGTCAATATTTGATTCTTCATAAATTGTTGGCTTTAAGTTTACATTATTTTTGCACTTCATTACTTCTATTCTACCTCTGACATACAGGGAACTCTTGATCAGGTTCATTGTATTTTTTTTCTCAGAATTTTACTCTTGTGGCACGTTTATTTTTTTTGTGCTATTCCTGGGCGGCAAATCGAGGTGGTGTGAGAGCTAGCTTGATCATTCAGGCCAAGTGTTGATTAATGTCACATGGAATGTGTGTTTCTGAGATCTTCTGGATGAGAGGAACTTCAGCGTTGCGTGGAGAGTAATGGGAGGCAGAATGTGCATGTCTGCTGTAATGAACTTCAGATGGAGCTGTGGAACTTCAGCCATGCGAACTGATGTTGTGCTGTCTTGTTTTTTAGATTTCATTTTATTACAACCATGTTTTGACTTAATGTCATGGAGACTTAGTTCTGCACAGCTTTTTATTAACATTCAGTAATTTGACCTTTATTAATACTTTAGCACTCGCCACCATACTCATTTTAAAGGCTTAGATCTACCATTTATTGTTTTCCCGTGCATCAATCTTCTTGCATATATAATGCAAACTTCGCTCTCTACAGCATATATTTAAAAAAAGACTTCAAGTCTAATGCAAACTAGCTAATAAGCGCTGTCACATACGGGTCATGTGTGACTGATTAAGTGAACTATGTCTGCATAAGTTAAGTGTTTCTGTGGGGTGAACAGTTAGCCTGAATATATACTGTAACATTTTAAGTTTTATAAGACACGATGATGCGGTTTGTGGGTATCGCATTTTTTGTTGTTTTTTTTCCCCCCTCCGTTTTGGTGGCATAAAATTAATATTTAAAAAAGTAAAATGAATCATAACTAAATGAAATGAAATGATGAAGGACCATCCCTGTGTGAAGTGAGTTCTCCCACTTGTTTGGCTCAGTCCTCAAGTGTTAAACCAGAAAAGCTTTTTGCAAATCCCAGTGAAGCAGACCAGTCAGCTGGCCTGGAGACCAGTATGGGCTTGTGGCCCAGTTTAAGTTTGCCACATGAAATAGCAGAGTCCACATACTTAAGTGACACAGCATGTTACTACTTTTGTTCATATTACATATGGAGAATATTGTGTCACTGCTGTTCTTTGTTCCACAGGCATTTTCTGCATATTACAAAGGGGGCTTTGAGCCAAAGATGACGAAACGAGAGGCCAGCCTCGTCCTGGGGATCAGGTAAGAAGAGCTTGCGGGTGAGAGGCAGAATCATCGCCTCTTACGTTGGCGAATGGTTGCCTTGTACTGGGCATTAGGCCCCCCTCCCTCAAAATTAATTTCTGCTGCCGGCCTGCTCCGTAATGTTGGCTGCAGGGCTTTGGGGGCCACAGGACGCCACAGAGGGCCGGACACGCCCACCATGTCAGTTTACATTTCACTTGCACACTTGAGAACTTGATTGTCTTCTCCGCTTCTAGAATTTTACTCACCCTTTCTTTTCATGTCTTTTATTCATTATTTACATTTTGGCGGTGTAATACTGTTTCGTTTGCTAAGTGCTTTAGGGCAGCCGTGTTGACAAAGATGCTGTTTAAAAATACAGACGCTCCTCTACTTACGAACTTTTAACTTACAAACTTTCAGACATACGAACTAAGAGGACTGTAAGTCCAAATTGTATTCATTGGGCTCCCATTTCCTGTTCAACATCAATTTGTTTTTTCTGCTCACCAATTCCTCCTAGTACGACTTCTGGCCGCTACTCCCACCGTACTCTAGCGTGCGTACTCCCAGCATCCTAGATGTTGGTACTTGCGTATACCCTTAAAATGACGTTGAATAACGACTTACGAACATTTCAAGTTACGAACGGCCGTTCAGAACGTATCTCATTCGGAAGTAGAGGAGCGTCTGTACACTGAAATGAACCCAACTATTGATAAAATTCCCATAAAATTGCCTTGGCACACTTTTTCATGTACCAAAATGTTTTACCATAATATCCTTGAAAAAGAACTATTGGTTAATAAGGTTAACTGGAAATAATATAGTGAATTTGGCTGAAGTATAAATATGAATATAGGGTTATGATTTTCTTTATGTGGCCACTAGGTGTCTCTAAAATCACATGTTTCTCTTGCAGTCCCACCAGCAGTAAAGCAAAGATCCGGGAAGCACACAGAAGAATCATGGTTTTGAATCACCCTGATAAAGGTGAGAGCTGCACTCTTTCATAAAACCAGGTTAATTTACAGATCAACAAGTACTTTGGTCATATACTTTTTCGTGTGAGAGCATATTATGTAGGATTGAATTGATTACTTTGAAGAATGCATTTGGTGATGTTATTTGGCATCTCTAAATTGCTTTTAATGGCCCTGCAATGGACCACCATCACCCTGATTGCACATCCCCGTCATGTGCTCCATGCTGTGGGGTCTCCAGAGCCCCTGCAGTCCTGTTCTAGATAAATGGTTGGAACACGGATGGATGTTCAGCTGTGAGATAAGCAGATAAGTCACAGTACTGAAATTATCTTGTTGTGTGACCAGATAATCTGGCATTTTCCTGCATGATCTTGCCATCCTCCTTGAGTTGAATGTGGGTCGAGAGGTTTTTTGCCGGTCTGTCTAATCGGAGTAGGAATAGATTAACACTGAGAGCACGGTATCGGAACGGAGGGAAGTGAGAGTGTTCGGTTGAGGGACGCAAATGGTCTGCTGGTAAAGTCACTGTTCTTCTCGCAGGTGGATCTCCATACCTGGCAGCAAAGATTAATGAAGCAAAAGACCTGCTGGACTCCGGCTTACGGCAATGACCCGTTTACGTCTTGCCTTCAGCCAGAACTCTGCTAACCTCTGCAGCATTTTTCCCCAGACTCCACATAAATTTGGTGTCACTCTTCTCTGCACGTGTGGCACTTCTGCCCAGTCTTGCCGCATTCTCGGTGAGGGTCCCTCCAGGGAGTCCGCTGGAGCTCAGACACACGACGGACTCGATGTTCCTGGATGTTCAAAATCGGCAAACCGTGACTGAGTGCCTTATGTGTTTGTCCCCTTATTCTGTAATGAGGTACACCGTCATCTGTAAATGCACGTTACAATTTTAGCAGTGTCAGATACATTTGCCACAGTACTCCAAAAATGGGAAAATTAGTTACATATTAATAGCAGTTATACAATGTATATTTATGTATGTTTTGTGTTTTATTGACTGGTGTGAAATGGGAGAGAGAGAAATAAGCTTTCATGTGGGGTAGGGGTAAGCAGGGGCAGAGTACAATGAATGTATTTGTCTTTTGATTCTGAGTAAAGAGTGTAATTTTTTTTGTATCTACACAAACCAATGGTCATTCATTTTTAATTTATTCCCGATTGCATATCTGCTGGACTGGCTGTGTTATCTGTTTATGACTGCGTTACATATTCATGTTTGTGATGTAAACATACAAACCTTGGTGGTACTGTTACACACCTCTGTGTGATGTCTGTCTCATTCATTTACTTGCCATGTTCATTCACAGTGAAGTCTCTCCAAGTTTATGTAAATGATTCCTTTTCCTAAACGGCAATGCTATCAAATACGTCTGATATAAATATGGAAATCTAACAAAAACATCTAATGAAAAATAATATTTCTGAGCACCTGGTGTGGCTGGTTTTGGTTTGCTTCGACAATTTCAGGCTTGGAGTAGTGGAGGGAGTTGATAGGTTTTGCTAGGTGAAATGTAAAAAAACTGTTCTACTCGTGACTTCAAAGATTCTCATTTTCACCTAGTTTTCACCTTATGTTCTTGTATATTGCACCAAAGAGTAAAATGCCCAGATCAACTTGTAATCTGTTTCAATAGGAGTATTTTAGCTCTAGCTGATAAAACACAATTAAATGATGTGGAAGCCAGTCATTTTAATTTGTTTTTTTGTAACAAATGTAATCTTGCTTCACTAGCTGCTTTTAGCAGTCTTAGAGCTTAGCATCCAAATTGTGCTTTGAAATGTAGGTAATATATGCAAGAGCTGTCTGCTACAGAAATAAAAAATGAACAGATGTAAGCAATAGTCATGCATGAGCCTCGAAAACAATGTCATGGTAAACTTGTGCTATGTTCAGCTTTGTGAATCACTAAACCTTCTAATAGTTCAATATAGAGAATCTTATGGGAAGTCTGAGAAATTCGTTTATGGTTTTCTCCCACATGACACGACGTACTGTCACAAAAGCGTAATCTTTTCCCCCAAACCAGCTCAGCACAAATCGTGTCTGGCAGCCCTGACCAGCCACACAGCCTGTGCTGATATAAGCTGCAGCTTTAAGGCTCATTAATGCTCAGTGTTAAACACACATATGGATGGAGGCTTCAGTCCTTAGTCTGCTTTCCTTCTGTCCACATATGTATGTATTTTCTGAAAGCTTATGGATATAGATGAAGCAGAGCAGTACCACCAGAAATTGTGGGAGCCAATAAAGAAATTTTTAAAATGGTTGAACTTTTGAGCAGTAACTGCAGTTGGGTGCAATTCATTTTTTTTATAGCGCCTTTCACAACAGTGTCACCCCAAGGCACTTTACATGGGTGTGTTGTGTTGCATTTATACAGAATAATTCAACAAGGAAGGAAGACAATGGAAGAGAGGAAGCAAAAACTCCTAAGTGAGGAGAAAAAAAAACCTCTGGGATCCAAGGTCATCTGCTTGCCTCCCCCCCCCACCCACCCCCGGACATGGTAGCATTATTAAAAAAGGAAGAATGGGTTTGCTTGCTAAAAGCAGCGTGTAAACTGGTCAAGGGCAAAGTCAAAGTCCATCAGTGAGTCAGTTCTCCATGTCGGCCTGTGTAGGGTAGCAGATTGAAGGCTACGCCCACGACGTTACAGTTTGTATGTCAGATCCACAATACCACCCCTCCATGGCACTGAACCAGGACTCCAGCACAGATGGTGCCCACCCCCGGCACCATCGGGACATGTGGGAAGGAGGCAGAGAGCATGGGGGGGTCAGAACATGCATTGAGACATTAAGGGAACAGCACAGTAGATAAAAATGGCATGTACAGCAGCACCAGCAGCCATAGTTACGGTGCATTATGTGTTATGTTGCAGGTAAGATAAATTATTCATATGTAAAAGGCCTTCAGTTGAGATTTAAAAACTGAGACCGAATCGGCATCTTGAACACTAGTCGCAAACCATTCCACAATATAGGCGCCCTGTAGTGGAGAGCTTCACTGCCAACTGTTACATTATTAATACGTGGAATGACCAGGAAGCCTGCGTTCTGTGATCTGAGTGGACAATATGGCTTGTAAACTTGAAATAACTCTGCTGAGACTTTGGTCAGCTGGCTGGCATGAGATTTTCAGTTTGAGACAAGTCTGCACATACATGCATATGCATTTACATGTATGCAACGGTTTTATTACATTGTAACTAGTCTGTACAGTTTGCAAACTACCCAATGCTTTTGATGTAGCTAATTTTAGGTTCATAATAAAATGATATAGCTTTGCCGTAAGATTTCTTGCGTGAGTGTGAGAGTCACGCCAGATGTGTGAGAGCTGGCAACCCTGCTGAGAATTTTTAAGTCAGTCCTGAACCTAACAGGAATCCAGTGCAGGGAAATAAGAGGGGTTATGTGTTCAAAAGTCCTGTTCCTGGTGAAATTTTGGGCTGCCGAATTTTGAATACACTGCAAGGAGTTCATTGTGCAGTTTGTGCTCCCAGATAATAGAGTATTACAGTAGTCTATATCCTACTGTATTAGTTTCTCGTGGTCTTGAATAGTAAGGGAATGTTGTAGTTTGGCAATGTTACATAGCTGCAGGAAGCACGCCTTCAACACTGCATCCACGTGAGAGGCTTGTATCTAAGGTGACACTCAAGTTACAGGCTAAGCTTTTGAGGGAAAAGTTCAGCCCCTGAGAGCAGAGTGTGGAGATTATAGCAGGCCTATCCACGAACTTGTCTCCAAACAACAAAACCTTGGTTTTCTCTGCATTTATTGACAAAAATGTTTTCATTGATCCAGGTCTTAACTTCATGAAAGCAATTAGCTAAAGTGACAAGAGATGAAGTGCATATTTGGGATTATGTTTTCTTATTATGTTACATAATGGCAGCATATAGAAAGAGAACCATATAGGACCGAGAACTGATCCCTGTGGTACTCCATATTTGACCTGTGATATTTTCAAATGTGACAATAGAGTGCAGTTATTGGACACTTGAACATATTGATATTGAATAGTCAAATAGGATTAAACCCAATTCAACACCATTCCACACAATCCGACATCAAATTCAAGTCTTTGTAATAGAGTACAACCCCGTTTACTAACAAGTTGGGACATTGTGTAAAATATAACTAAAAATAGGTAACAACAGGTAACTGGTAATAACAAAGCAAGGATAAATGCAGCCTACCTAGGTTAAGCTTAAAGTAGGCTACGTAACCTACGTTATCTGTTACGGCTGTATTTGATATTCATGGTCTAGATAACGCCATTAATTGACATAGCTAGCTATTATCAAACGTTACAAAACATTTATAAAACAACATACAGTCAGAAGTATTACACGAACAAAAACCAACAGCCCATACAAAGGATAAAAACAGCAGAATTTACAAGGAAGAACATCAAATAAACACATAGTTCTGGCTTTTTTATTTTTGGAAATTTCGAATATCGAATGGAACGCGTCATGAAAAAACACATGCTCGGTAAGAATCGGTTAGGGTCGGTAATGTGATGTGGCGTACGCATGCGCGAGAAAGTCACCGCGACGAGTGTGACGACATGCTCCAGTGAGGAGTAAAAACCGGAAGTGTAAGCAGTGAACTTTATAAGCAAACTACAAACAGAAGTTTTACACTTGAGTCTTGTCGCTAGTTTGCCTCAGTTTGTAAGCCTTTATATCTTGCATCCGGTTTTTCCTCAGTAGTCTCTCATCTCTGTCTGACTTCGTCTCCAGTCTTTGCTCTTTGGTTTCGATTTTAGGTCGCCTGTGTAATTCTATCTCTGATCACCTCGGATTCTTCTCTCACCTGGGTCCCAACGTTGGGAGCTTCTTTCAGGTACTAAGCGCCGACTTCGCTCCAAACTATTCCACTTTCTTCTCTAAAATAGCAACAATTGTTATTGTGACGCTGCTTCTAAACTGCCCATTTTGTTAAAGTTCACCTGTAAAAAAGACAACATTGCTTCCAAATCAGCCCCCTCATCTACGCCCTTTGCTACTGTATGCAGGTTACTGTTTAATGTATAACGTCACCTTCTACACAACTGAAAGTATTTAGGACATTTCATGCAAGTCAGTTAATTAAGGAAACCCCAAAATTCCAGGCTGACAAGTAAAGTCATTTAATTGGCTTTCTGAGTCCTCCTGTTATTTTTGGGACATTTCAGATATTTGTAACTGTGAGTCAGTTACTGCATGAACTTGATTTGCCGCCTCTATCTCATTTACCAAAACTTGTTGAATGACTTGAATGTGCCTTTGTGGCTAGTTGCGCAGGTCTATTTGGTGATTGCTACACTGCATTATACAGTCTCTGAGTTTGTCAGTGACATTTGTGTGAAGTACTTACTGAGCTTAAAGAATAGTCTGAAAGGAAAATATGGTTTGAATCAAATTACAGTTAATGGTGATATTTTACATGGAATATTCACAGTTTTAAAGTCTTTGTTTCCATTAGCGGTCACCCACATGCTGAGAACCACAATTGTGTTAATAAGTACATATTGTATTTTTGCAGAGAGGAAACATGTGTGAAATGGTGCTTGTGGACATTGGCCACAGTAACTGTCCACAAGATGGCTGCTTGCAAAAACACTTGAAGGATATGTCTGCCATGATAGATGATGGGGCATATAGTCATATATACATTATGATTGACAGAGATTCAGGAACAGAAAAAAACCATGTGCAAACTACTTCAACACTCTTGGAGAGCTTTGCAGGTCAGAAGGAAAAAATTCACATACTGGATGAAGGCTGTGTGGCATCCTCCTGGTACTGCTTTAAACAAGCCGTGGATGAATTGGATCTGAGTGCTGTGCTGGTTGTTACGTCCAGTCAGAGGAGGAACATGCTGCAGACATACCAAAGCTTACTCTTCACCGCAGTCTACAGCTTTGAGTATGCAGCTTTATTCGATGACTCACAATGTCTCAACTCCAGCAGCCATCTCCGCAAAAATATCAGAGAGGAAGTGAAGACCTTCCTCCAGAGTTTACCTGCGGTCACTGGAGAGATTTCTATTCTTAGGTCGTCTTTCATTTCAGGTGAGTTTGGATGTTTTGTTCGGACTTTTTAACGGATCTGTCTAAAGCCCCAACACCGGGACTTTATGCATAGAAGGGTTACTGTTCCTCACTATTAAAATTAACCCATTTAAAGTAGACACAAATTGTGTGACCCAGAGATCTCATTGGAGCTAGTTAAGCGGCATTCAGTGGTTTATAATGCATTTATAGCTTCTTAGATAATAATGGCGAATCGGTAGTTACGAAAAATCGGAATTCAAAATAATTTTTTACTAATTTATACAGTTGGATACCTTATTGGAGTAAGTGAAGTTAATCGCCTTGTCATGACACCATGCTGCCTTGCTGTGTGCTGCTAGACCTGAATGTTCCTTCTACTCCATTGACTGTGAGGTGAAGTGTGTCACTAACAGGCTTCTCTGCTCTTGAACATCTTTAGACAGCTTTTCTCATGGTTTCACTACCAGAACTGGGGGCATCTCCTACGTCAGTACACTACGATCCCTTAACCTCTTCAGCAGCTCCAGGCGCAGGGACCCAAATGTAGTTGTTGAGGAGAACCTGCGTCGCCTCGGTCTTCAGGCTGGCTTTGATCCCAAAAATTTTCACCTTATAAAAGTAAGCTGTACGGAACCTGGAATGTACCCATATGTCCAAAGTTCATGCAAAGGTCATACATGCTGATTATCTGATTGTGGGCACTGGTCACAGACGGATCATGCCAGTGACGTATGGGTGATTGGAAAACCAGAGCCTCCGAGCTACGACGGCATGGTAACCAACCGGGAGGGATTGGTCATTGCTGCACCCGGAGCTGACTGCATGCCCTTGCTTTTCACGGACCCTGTGGCAAAGGTGATTGGTGTGGCTCATGCAGGTAAAGCCCTACACAGCCTCACAACTGATATAATCCCTGGAAGTGTTGATACCCCTAGAATAAATTTACATTGATAAATATACAGCTCTGGAAAAAATTTAGACCACGGCAGAATTTTTAGTTATTTATATAATTAATTTATAGCTAGTAAAATATACATTTTTTTTGCAAACTCCAACCTGACTTCTCTGTTTCTCATTGATGAAGGGCTTCTTCCTTGCTTTATGGGTCTTCAGTCGTGCTTCTAGGAGCCTGTTATGAACTGTCCTAGCAGTGCACTTCACAACACTTAATGCTTCCCATTCTTTTTGAAGGTCACTTGTTTCATCCTCCGATTCATGACGTACTGTTGGATAAGTTGACAGTCATCTCTGGCATTAGAAAGTTGCTTCTGCCCTCTGTCTGGCTGGTTTTTACTTATTTCCAATGACCCTTGCTTCACATTGTTCTTGTGAACTGTTGTCTTGGAAACTTTGAGCCTGGAAGCAGCCTGCTGTGCAGTGTAGCCTCTGCCAGCAGAACCGTGAGTAAACCGTGATTTTAAAAAAGCAGATTTTTTTAAAAATATGGAGTGGTCTCTTAATTTTTTTCCAGAACTGTTTATACGTCTGTGTTTATCTCCCTTTTTGGGTGAGCCTTTTGTCCCCAATGCCCAAAGCTCAAGATAGACTCATATTAATGTGTATAGTAAAACTTTCTTGCCAGTATATCTCAGTCTTTTATTTCACAAATGTCATTTAGGTTGGAAAGGTACTTTGAAGGGGGTTGCTGTGGAGATGGTGAATGCCATGGTATCGGAGTTCGGCAGTAACCCATCCGACGTCGTCGTGGTCATCGGGCCGTCTGTGGGCCCGTGTTGTTTTACTCTGGACCGAGATTCTGCCGAAAAGTATTATGCTATTCATCCAGACTGCGTCAAGGCTAGAGGCTCCCCACGGCCTTACGTCGACATCAGACTAGCCACAAGGTAAAGGTGAACACTTCTCCAGTCTGCATTCTGTCCAAACTGCTCTGTTTCTGTAATGGAGGACCAGTCTTACCTTGAACTGAAACCTGTGGGTTACTTATAAAAAATCCATGTGGTAAACTGATGCACGTGCCGTACTTTCTGGGAAAACTCTGTTCTGTGGTGGCCTGTTTGAAGTAGTTTTACAAACCATATAGAGAAACGCCACTATCTATCAAATGTTATGGGCTCAGTTAAATAATAATAAATGTTTTGCTATTTTCAGAATTCTCCTCCAGCAAGCTGGGATCCTTCCTCACTGTATCCAGGACAACACTGTGATGGAGAGGCCCCTCTTTACACTGTGCACGGCCTGCAGCCCTGATGCCTTCTTCTCCCATGTTCGTGATGGCATCAATTTTGGCACACAGATCGGTTTTTTGTGGATTAAGAATCAGTGCGTCAGTGGGTGAACAATTTAGTTATCAAATAGGATATCAACTGAGCAGGAAAACGGGTCTACATAAAACTTTTATACAACAGAATTGTATTTACGATGTGCAATATAATGCACAATGTTGTGAATATTTTATTTTATTAGGTGCTTTGTGCATCAGAATCATTTTATTTCTGGTTTTAGTTTGGGCTGCTGGCTGAGTGTTTCTCACATAGCCATGCAATTCCTAAGTTGCGGATTGATCAGCTACACTTTTGTTTTCTGTCTGGAGTTTTCATGATGTCCTCATTTTTGCACGGGTTTCCCCCCCATACTCCTAAAATACATGGTTAAGAATGCATTTTAAAACATAATACCGTTTCTGTAACTTACCTGGAATTAACCTGTTCTTTTCTGATCTTTAAAACAATGGAACATCAGATTTTGTGGTCAGCTGTGGTTAGATCCATTCATCTACCGCATCCTTCAATTATACTTCTGAAACTAGTGTGGCAAAAATTTGTAGATGGGAAAACAAAGTTGGTAGATACAGTAGTCATCATAGAAAGAGGAATTTTATTAACGATGGAGGAAATTCCGAGTCAATGTCACAATGAACATAAGTGCGACATGCAACACTTAAAACTGGAATGCCCTGTGGGGCCTTACTGTGTCGTCATTCTTTGATTTTTCTTAATGCCATTACTTTCATACGTGGAGTTTGTAAGAATCACAGTTAACACTGCCCTTCTCGTTATCACAAGAGATTTTGGCTAATAAATGCATCACTGCCACGGTAGTCAAGGCACATGAGAAAGCTTGAAAGAAGATTTATATACGTTAAATGCACGTGTAAATCTGCTGTTTCTCTTTAGGACTTTCTACTTCAAAGTTTACGGTAATGCAGTGTAGCCCAAGCCTTTTAAAATAGTAATAATTCATTATGGTGGACCACAAGAAGCCAAGCACACGGAGGTCAGAATGTTGCCCCTTTTGGCAGCTGCCCCCCCAGCGGCCTTTCGGTCCCTCTGGGGGCGGCATGTGTCTCAGCGGGCTGCTGTCCATGGTGCTTACTGAGCTTACTGAGTTCAGGGTGGCATCCGGACTCAGGTCAGAGTCCCCGCAATACCATATTTTTGTTCAGCTCTACAATAATTATAAGAAAACTTGAGACTTTATCGCATTTTTTTGGTAACTTGTAGCTGGATTCGCCATTATAAGAGTCATCAAATGTATGTTACAGAGCCAATCTTTGTCCAGGCAGTTTTTGCATAAAATTATTCAAAATTAAATTGTCAGTATTCCTCCACATTTATATTCCTAAAATGGGTATTGAAAATAAAAACTGGTTTGCTGTAGAAAAAAATAATCCCAATCTCAAAAACATGCATTTCTCAGTACTACTGGGAAATGAAAACTTTGCAGATCATTGTAATCCTGCAGAACTCTTATGGGTGCCCACATGTTTATGTGGAGACCTAAGCAATCAAACACTTGCCTAACAGTCACAGTAGAATGACCTGCTGTCTTTGTCCATCCGTATTCATTTTCATTATTTGAGTATCAAGAAATAGATTTTTTCCCATATTCTGTTCATCCACCCATCCATCCATCTTCTGTAACTGCTTGTCCTATTCGGGGTCATGGGGGTTCAGAGTCTATCCCAGACGCTATGGGCACAAGGCAGGGAACCACCCAGGATAGGGCACACTCACACACCGTTCACACACACATGCATACCTACAGGTGATTTCGATAACGCCAACTAACCTCAGCCTGTTTTTGGACTGTGGGGGGAAACCATGGTCATATTCAGTTCTTAATTAAAATTGAAAGAAATATCTAGATTCTGGATCCTTCTAAACCATTCAAAATCCACAAGCTTATGACCCTATAAACATCAATCCACAGAAAAACAAAATGTACAATACAAAAAAATATATTTACATTAACACCAGACAAAATAATCCATGTTTTCATTTCTTTATTGAAATTTGAGAAGTGTAAGTGAATTGTTATTGTTTCACTGGTTTGAGGAACATGCAAGAACATAAGCAAACATCCTACACATTGATGTGGACCCACAGTAGGCAGAATTATCTGTAGAGTGGGCTTACTGTGACAAACTTGGAGTGCTTCACTGTTAAAAAGGAAAATACTACAAATTTCAAATGAACAATGGTTTACAGTACAATTTAATGCAAGAAAATCAGTCTTGAATTGCTTGGAAGCAGCATTCATGATTTACAGCATTAAAAGACCAACCAACTTTGTCCGACATAACAGCTGAATATTCACCTATACAACCCAAATTGTTTCTCTCCCTTCCTGCTTCTTATTACAGTTCAGTGTTTACAATAAATACATAAGTCTAACTCATTTAAATTGAGCTAAATTGAGCAACTCCACAAATTCTCAAAGCAGCTGTTACTGCTTTAAAGGCAGGAACTGAGGTGGAGGAGAAGCATTTATCTGAACTTCACTAAAGCACTTAAGATGAATACTGAAAGATTTACTTCCATTCATTGGGCACATTTAGCACATGTCAAAATGAATGTACTGGTGTATGTGTTGGCTATATAGTGAAATTCCACTGGAAATGATCTTTTTTCAGTTCCAGTACCAAAAGCAGAGATAATGTGTCAGTGGTCAACAGAACCTCTTCATATTCTTCACCAAGAAAGTGCTTGCTCTTAAAATCGACTCACAGTCTGCAAAAAAAGGCCTATTTACACACAAAAGCTTGGTGACGTCTGTACAATCCCGGGGTCACCAATGAATGGACATAAACTTAAGTCCCTACAATACAGGCACGATGATCGTTTGAGGCGCTTTTGCGCGACATTCTCAGTGATCTTGTTAGTCCATGGGTTTTGGTTTAGAATTATATCCGTCAATAATCATTTCACCCTAGACGATTGTCTGAGATGTGTAAAGTGTTTCAAAACATACTGCTAACGTGTCAAGTTTCGAGTGTTAAAATGTGCAAATATTAAACGAACTGTCCAGTCTCTGCGGAGAATTCTTGCCTCGGCCTTTAGTTTCTCTCACTGGGTGATCTCGTGCTATGCAGAAGGTCCAGAACTCTGCGAAGCCGACTGCGCAGGTGGGGCAGACTGCTGGGCCGCTGCCCCTTGTGGCTGCGTGGATGGTGGCGGGGACCCGCTTTGGACTTGGGCCTGAAACTGTGCGAGCTGCTCTGGACTGGCCAGATTTTTCAGCAGGCTATTCTCCTGCTCCAGCTGCGAATTCCTTTCAATCAGTTCTTTTATCTGCTCTTTTAAGACCTCCACCTCCTCCCGAACAGCATACATCAAATGACTTTTTACTAGGTCCTACAAAGACAAAAAAATAAGAGCAGTTTATCAGGACAACCATTTTCTCATTAAATATTTTCAGATCCTGTATAAAAGTGCTGTTAATAATAGTAATTAATATAGCCAGAGGCAGTCATAGGCAGGCTAGGCTGTTAGGCCATCACAAAGACAAAAAAAAAGAGGTTTATTTTAGATATATTCATTGTACTGAGATTAAGCAATTAATTTGTTGTAAATTTTAAGGAACCAGATGGTCTGCAAGTAACACTCCAGTTCATTTTGATATTTACACTGCCATAAAGACAGGGTCACTGGATTTTTATCCATGAACAAACAAAATGGCTGGTCGGTGGAGCACTGAGCCAGTCCGCTGTCCAATTACTGTAACAGCCTTTCTAAGGCACTGGGGTCTCCTAGCAACAGTCAGGGCTGGGATACAGCAGGAGTCTTTCACCTGCACTCCTTGGATATTAATACGTAAATCGTAAAGTCCCCATGTCAAATCAAGTACTTAAGTTATGTCATCAGTGGTACTGATTGCGTTAAACGAACATCGGTTAGATCACTAAAACACTCCGAAGTCAAGGTGCAGACCTGCACACTTCCGGTAGTAAGTCCAACACAATAACTGCCTAATAAGCAACACCTCAACTAAAAAGCTGGTTAATTTAATAAACTACTGAAAAGAGTAGGCTCAGATATTTACAGTATCAATTAAACATTTCCCACTTACCATTGCTTGTTCAATTTTGTTGTCTATGGCCACCACGCTAGCACCAGAAGAGCTAGAGACAAAACGGAAAAATCCAATTAGTATACAAATGTATTAATCATAATAATAATATTAATAATAGTAGCATTATTAATAAGAGTGAATACTTTAATGGTTTGTCGATGGGTCTTGTCAAATGAATCAGTATCGTGATATTGTGCAGCTTTTAATTCCCTGCCTCTCAAAGCCCGTAAAACAGACACAAATGACCTATTTTCATTACATCAGCCTGTACAGTAACTCGCTGTAATACATCAATAATGCAGAAAATATTAATATGCATTACGTCGTATCCGCTCTTACATACAAACCTTTGCAGGCGAAGAGCATTTGTTTTCGTATGAACAAGATTAAACGTACAGAAGCGCCGTGCAGAGCTGCATACGGCCAACCATCGGCAGCGTAAGGATGTTAAACCAGACAAATAACGTCAGCGTCGTTTTCTTTCATGCCCAATATTTATTCGGGATGTTTTTAAAAAGGTGATTTGAAACGGTATTTACCTATTATCAAAAAACAGCGATGGATTTTCCGCACTCAGCAATGATGAAAAAAATGATTTCGAGATTCTGAGCTGACAAACACCAAAATCCATCGTCATAATACGGCAGGGGGGAGTCATGCTACAGCGGCCATCCGCGCAAAACGGCATCACGGAGACGCATGTTCGCCAGCCGTCATGGTTGCGCTCTCCTTACGCTGAGCTTGATGTAGCTTTTGCAGGAGAAAACGTCGGATTGCCAGCATAAGCGGCCAGCCCGCAGAATCGCACAGAACAAAGAGCCTCCTTCCCAGGTCAGCTCGTCCCGGCGCCGCCGACAATCCGCAGGCGCCATTACATTTGCATAATATATGCAGGAAAAACAGCACAAGCCTGCATCCCATTGGCGCACAAAGCAGCATTACTGACTAATATATGTAGGATCGCCCCTTACAGTGCAGAATACTCAGGAACATAATAAAACACAACAAATACTGTATGACCAGCTTTCTCCCGTCTTTTCAATGATGTACTATTCGATGAACTAACAAACATTTTTTTTCGTACAGGTATCATAATAATCCACTGGCAAATGTAGTGCTTTCTGCTGGCTGGTTATAATAACCAGGAGATAAACAGCATACCGTTCCTAGCTCACGTGCCCCCCCCCCCCCCATGTTAATAATGTACAAATACACGCCCCCAATTTCCTACTGCGCTCTCCATTCATCACCCATCATCACCCACTGCTTTTCCCGGCAGCAGGCTAAGCAGGTCAAACTACATGTCTTTTTCCACGGCAACAGGTTCTAGCTAATTCTGAAGGATCCTTAGATGATCCAAGCCAGCTGAGGGATTTAATCTCTCCAGCATCTTCCTCTGGGCTTTTGCTCAGTAGGATGTGGCCAGAGCAGTTTCTTTGAGAGCCATTCAAGCAGCATCCTTACATATGCCTGAATAACCTCAGGTGATTCCTTTTGATTGGAAGGAACACTGACTATTGAGGACCTTATGAACTCCTCACCCTCTCACAGAAAGCGAGTATAGAAACGCTATGGAAAAAACATAATTCTGGCAGCTTGTACTTTTAATGTCTTTTTTTTTTCCCCCTGAGGTGAGGATAGGTTCAGACTCATGGTCTGTCTGTATCTCTCCCACTTTACTACAAAAGGACCTCAGTGCTAACAAAACTCAGTCTCTCATATTCCCTCTTACCCTCACTCGTGAAAAAAACCCAGAGCAATCCATTTCAGCAATCCAAAAAGCCTTGCATTTTGAGGTGTCAACTTTCATAAGGCTAAAAGCATGACATCATGTGCAAATATATACTAAGGCACCTTTTCAGCCACAGTTAAGCTTTGATACTGTACCTTGTCCATGAAAATCACAAGCAGGAGTGAAGGCAACACGCACCTGTCATAGGGGCTTCTAAATTGTTATATTTCTTCAATTTTCTGCAGAGAATGCAGACACAATTCTTATTGCATGTATACAGGAGACAAATGGCAAGTAGTGTCCCAGGACTCTATATTCCTGCAGTACAGTGCTGAATTGAAAAAGCTTTCTCCTCTAACGATATCCTGTTCTTGCATATTTTTCACAATGAACGGCTTCTTCTTCAAACCTTGATTGTTATTCAGGTATACAGTAGAGCCGTCGCAACAACTTGTTTAAACTCGTTTATTAAAAAGCGTCAATTAAAAATTGTCCTTCTCAATTACTTGGCAGTATGGCGGAAGGAAGACGGCACACGCAAGATGAGGGTCCAGAAAAAGAGCGAAAACATCATTTGGGTGGATGCAATTACCTAAGGTTGCTGTCGATATATAAAACTCGCCGGCTCCCTAGTCAACGTAAGCACAGTGGTTAAAAGCCTTGGTGCCATTATCGACTAAATGCTCACATAAATAACATGATTAAAACAGCTTTATTCCACCTGAGGAATATTGCAAATCTTAGAACAATGTTCTCACTTCAGGATGCAGAAAAGTTAGTACACGCCTTTATGATTAGTAAACACCTCTGAATGATTAAACAAACTCCAGTTGGAGCAGAATGCTGCAGCAATAGTCCTAACAAGGACTAGGAAACAGGCCAGTACAGGACTGACATGCCCATAACTCCAATATTGTATTGCAGCAGAGCAAACAGGAAAGATCTTATTTCCAAAAAAATGATAGCATTTTATTTTAAACTGGTTTTTATTATTATTGTTATGATATGAATTTCTCTTATACCGCAATACCGGTTTAAATAGCCTACACAACATTCGGAAAGTGGCGCAGCTGGAAACTGTTTAACACTTGCATTATGCTGTGGAATGAATGTTTTGTCTAAATTGTGGGGTCATCAGTTCTCCATGCTTGTATGTAATGGGGATTTCTAATAGCATACTTTGTGGGACGATGCAGAGATTGGCTTAGAAATGAGATGAGGAATTATCAGGCAGTTGTAGTCCACCAGATCATGTACAAACTGTGGTTTTTCGTTATTTTTCTTATTTCTCTGAAGTAGGGCTGCCGTTAACAATTATTTTTGTATGGATTAATCATGACTATTTTAAGGATTGGTTGATTTAAACTAAACAATATGTCTCAAAAAAAAATCTAACTGACAGTTTATTTTTATTTTCACAATAACATACGGTATGTCACTACAGAGCTTTAGATAATGTATGTCGGCTTTTCGGTACGGACATTATTTTCGCCCACAATTCATATTAGTAGTATGTCTAAAATATTTATAAGACGTGTATTGTGATGGCCAAAAGTTTGTAAGCTGTATAAATTCGGTGTATAATTTTGCTTAATAAATTAGTTTAGCAGAGCACGCCACATGCGACTGGTAAATCATGGAAGCGAAAGTAGCTTAGTGAAGTCGGGGAGAAGGAAGGATGGCTCAACAGCCGCAACATATTTTAAAAGAGGAGATATTGTGGTTAAACTAGGTAAAAGATTTTGGCGAATGGCGGCACTTTTTGCTGTCCGATACTTTGTTTCAGTAAATATAGTTTTCATTTTTACTTAATGTCACAAATTTTCTTATTTAGTGTCTGTTTTCATTTCAGCTTTTGTTCACGATAACAGCACTGGTTCCCAGGGTTGTCAACACTGATGCATCTGGAGTGACGCTCACGCAAGAAATCTTACGGCAAACCAATCTTATTCCATTGTAAACCTAAAATTAGCCACATCAAAAGCTTTGGGGTAGTTTGCAAACCATACAGACTTTTAAGGTAATAAAACATTTATATGAGTCCACAGACTTGCAAATTTAAAATCTCTCGACAGCCAGCTGACCAAAGTTGACTACCCTGGGTCCCAACAAACCCACAAACTAACTGCCACCGTCAGTCATCGTAGAATAAGATCAGATTATAGCCAAAACACTTATTCAATGGAAATTCTAAGGCAGACAAGTTTATGGCTTTAATAATGAGTGTATTTAGAAAATACAATGACAAACTCTCTGTACTAATTTAATAAACACAAACAGACAACACTTACGGTGGTTTTGCCTACTCTTGCAGTCCATCATTCAGAATAGCGCCTGTGTGTTTTCTCTTCAGGTGCTCTTGCATAGCGCTAGACTCTCATCGAAATCTGCACGCTGTGCAAACCACCTTCTTGTTTGGTGACAATTTGAACTACTCACATAATTACGTAGTGATATTAAAGGATTCATGTGTTACAATGAAGCGTTTTAGAAATCATAAAGGTAATTTCTTTAAAGTAATTTTTTTAAAGCTATGCATCGATTTAAAATATTGATGTTGATGCATTTTCAGCGTCGACGTCATTGACTACGTCGACTAATCGAGGCAGCCCTAATCTGAAGATCTCATTACATGCCATCTTTCAGTATTATCAGTATTAATGAAGGATCTATGTTTACTGTGCACGTCAAGTAGAGCTAGGCAGTATAACCAAAAATTTATATTTTACACATTTTATCATTTGGTATTTTAAGTTATATCGGTTTCACGGTATACAACGGTATTTTTTTTTAAGTATGACTGGGCGTTTACCACATTTTACTGGATTTTACAGGAATTTTTGTTTTATGTTTTTGCATTGTTCCCACATTAACTATATTTTATTATTAGCAATTGCGCCTATCCGCTACCTTAATGATAACATATGGCTAACATGTTTGTTGGCTAATTGCTTATAGATAAATGGCTAATGTTAACTTGGCCAGTGCACACCTTAACATTTTTGATAAGTGTTTAATAGTTCAGTGTTGCTGTAATGCAACCTTTACTGACCTCGCGAAATTTCTCATAAAGACTGGGATGTCAGTCTTTAAGATGCTTCGCTAAGCTTGACATGCTACTTATCGCCACAACTTTGTTGCACTTTGCATAGAGGCATATCGACATCCTTAGCCTTTCCATAATCGTCTGCAAAATAGTTCCAAATGGCACTTTTGGGTTTTTGTTTTTTTTTTTTAACCAAAGCAGCTTGCGAAGTGCCTTCAACTGCAGCATATGCCACGTTCGGCCAACTCAGTATGTGAGTGTTAACCAGCGCGAATGTCTTCAGCGGCTATTCAGAGGAGGGGAGGGGCTGCGTGAGTGTGTGCGTGTGAGTGCACGCGCGCCTGCGCTGTAGTGGTGCTGTGTGAAGTGTGACGAACGAGGCGAAATCCTCACTGTTCGTATCAATAATGGTGAAAATGAGTGTCTAATCAGAAACTAATTTTTAATATCGACTAGTATCTGAGAATCGATTTTTTTTTTTGACAACCCTAGTGTCTCATTATTTTCAACTCCAGCGTCAGCTATATCTCCCATTTCTGATCTTTCACGGTACATTTTTAGCGGTGCAGCAGTGAAAAAGGTCTCCCCTTAAAAAAGTAAAGCTCACACTCCAATTGGTTAACGACTGTGTGTGTGCAGTTCTCCCTCCAGGTTTTAATCAAATAATTTTTAAGCTCTAGAGTGAGTAAACTTTTTATTAGCTGCAGAAGGGATTCAAATGAAGAGAACATTGGTCCTCAAGTAAGATGTTGCTTAATACAGTTTCTAACATCCTACAAATACAAACCTCAACACAGTTATATGTCTGTGGGTGTAACTGTAATATGGAGTTGTTGTTATACTAAAGAACTCCCATACATGAATACAACAACGAAGAAGAACTCCACATTCTTAAGGCCACATAAAAGGAGAATTTACAGACATGTAGATATTTTCTAACATATTTAGACGAGGTGTGTTAAAGGATTTAACCTACATGTTAACTTTATGTAAGGACAAAATCATTATCGCTCCATGACACATGCTAACAGCAATTTGCAGAGTAAAAGCCTTACTGTGCAGCAACAAAAAAAAAAGTTATCATCGCCACATGAATCCGACTGGATCCCCAGTCATTCCACAACAAAGACATTTGAAGTTCCTATTAGTTAATAATTAGTTTTATTAAAAGCTCTTGTTGTGGAAGTTCAAGATATATGTGGAACGCCTGGGTGGCCGAGCAGGAACACTACAGAAAGCCACTAGCCAAGTACATAGGCGAAGCTAAAACGTGACCTGTCATTTGTGAAAATGCCACACTCATTAAGACTGAATGGGCGCTGTTGCCCAGGGGATGACGACATTCTGTAAACTCGCACTGCATTCTAGACTCTCAAACTCAATACAGAGCTCAGTTTGCGGTCAGTCACTGGAAGGTGGCATGGCAACCGGGGCCACCCAGTTCTAAACAGAATACACTGCAGCCAAAAAAGGCAGCACCCTATTAAACTTATCCATTCGGCCATTAAACCGGAAAGATAACCCTTCCATAACCATTCAATTCAAATGTACCAAACTCAGATTTAAAAGACCATTAACAAATACTACCACTTGCAGCATTTAGAATATTTTGGAATATAGTCTAAAATTGCTTATACAGTACAGTTACATGGAGCCTGAAGTCCATCCCAGGAAACAGGGAACAAAGCTGGGGTTAGGTTGCACAGGATGTCGGTCCATCACATAGTACCTACTGATACACCCAGTCACACACTATGGAGAATTTTACGCCCCCAGTTCACTTAACTACAGTCTTATTGGACTGCGGGTAAAAGCTGAAGCACTCAGAAGAAACTAAGAAGAGTCTTTGCATTTTGAATTACTAAGCTTGGTGACTCCTACAGTAATCATTCTATATACACTCCAGTACATACCCAAAAGGGCCCAACACAAAGCAAGTTAGAGATGTGCTTCTTACCTTTCGTCCTCCACCTCTACAGGTGGGTTCGTCAGCAGGCCAGCTGAAGCAGTTAAGGCACTGCAGTCACCGCTACCATCAGGACCAGAGGATGTGGGGATTTCGGAAGCACACTCTCCAGCTGCCACCTTGGGGAGGGAAAGCAGGGTCTTGTGCTGAAAAAGCAGCCGCTGAGCATCTTCCAGTTGTGTGGCTGTAATGGACGACCAGCTGGGGTACTGGGCGCCGACAAGCTGGGCCCCTTGCCCTGGTATGACGCCAAGGCCGCTGCAGCTCTGCACTGGAGGACCACTCTGGGCATCAGCCAGGAAGCTGGGAGGTATGCTGGGTGCAGGGACTCCGGAGGAACCTGCAGAGGGAGTCTGGGTCCCTAAATTCTGAGCTCCGGTGCCTTGCTGGCGCTCCATAACCTGCTGACCCGGGAGCTGCTGAGCCTTCGCTAGCGGCTGAGCCAGGCCTAATAAGCCGCCGGGCAGCATGTGTGGCAGCGTCCCAGCTTGGGAAGAGGAAGGCTGCTGAAGGAAGGCTGAAGGAAGGGCTTGAGACCCAGCAGAGTGGACGCTGCCTGTGGACTGCTGTCCAGCTATACCCAGGCCAGTCCCAGAAGACACCATGGCATGGGCGGTGCCAGACATGTGGGGCATGTGATTTGGTCCAGTTGTCACAGCCTGCCCACCTGGCGAGATGACCTGTGGCACAGCGTGAGCAGGTACCAACTGGGTAGGAGCTTGAGTGAAGCCTAACTGGTGCTGTGGAGCCGAGGCTGGCAAGCCCTGTGCCGGGCCTGCCTGGGGGACCTGGGTGTAGGTCAGGGGTTGCTGGACAACAGCTGGGTGTATAGAAGCCTGCTGCTGGGACCCTGCTAAACCAGCAAGTCCAGCAGAGGGCGCTACATTAGGCTTCAGGAGCGGGTTCACGTCGTGAACGTTGGCAGAAGCCTTCAACTGGGATGTGCTCAGAGAAAGGCCAGCAAGTGAGGCCTGAGGAGCTGGAACAGTGGAGTATTCCTGCAGCTGGGGGGCAATCTGTGTGGCAGGGGGGCCGCCCATCTCCCCACTGCTCACACTCTCTGTATAATGACTTAAGGTGCTGACCGTGCTGCCGACAGAACTCCCACTTGTGCAGTCCCGCTCTGAGCACGTAGCACTCTCTGCTGCCCTTTGTCCGCCGTCTGAGGAACACGCCGCCGCTGCAGCAGAGGTCTCCTTGTCGTAATACTGTGTACACGTCCACCTGCCTTTCTTGAACTGCTCAGAACTGCAATCTAGTTTCACCACCCTGAAACGGGAGCCGGTAGCAGCAGGGGCTGGAGCCTGGGACGGCGGGATGGACGACCCTTGTGTTACCCCTGCGGTCCCTCCTTGCCCAGCAGAGGCGGATCCCATCGAAACTGGGATACCAGTACCAGAGCACACAGTCCCACATTGCTGATGAACCAGACTTACATTTTGGATATGGCCTCCTGTAATGCCATTGCAACTGTTCAAGTTAGCTGGTGCGAGACCAATATTGTGACTGACACTCGAACCCCCAACATTAAGCACACCGACAGGTATGTTTACATTACTAACATTGTTTGTCAAGGGATTAGTCATACCATTTGCTATACCTGCAGCTGCAGAAGGCATTCCGGTTTCAGCTCCTGAAGAGCCTACAGCGCTGGTACTACCAACCAACATATTCTCTGTAACAGCTCCCACATTCTGGGTAACACCTGGTAAAATTCCAGTGGAGGATGAAACAGTGGAAACAGCACCCCCTTCTGGTGTCCCAGAGAGTGCCACTTTAGACTGGGTAGCATGTACTTGGTGATGATGTACAGTTCCATTCACCATGGTGCCATGCTGAAGTGCCTGGGGTAAGGGATGACGGTGTGGTGGCTGATTGGGTGACACAGCACCTGGAGTGTCCACCTCATGAAAGTTGTTAAGAGTCTCTTCAGAGGAGCTCCTCTCTGCACCACCCATATCAGTGGCACGGGACAGGGAAACATCCAGAATCTCAGATGAAGACAGGTCCTCAGTGTGTGACTCATCCAAATCATCATAGCTCTCTGTATCTTCTGCAACGCTATTGTTGGTGCTCAGGGAGACCTGAGCTGGAGTAACGCTGGTGATCTGGAAGCCACTTTTCTTCTTTATTTGAACCCCAATCAATGAGAGCGGTTGCACCTGGGGCTGAGACAGGTTAAGGCTCTGGGGAGGGTGCTGGGGCCCAGGGGACGATAACCCACCCGGGGGTGGCGGCTGTACCAATAAGGAAGACTGGTATTCATCAGTCGAAACTGCATTATTGCTAACATTTGTTGGTATGACCGCTGTCAGCGCAGAAGCACTGCCAGTACTGGTGCTACTACCCCTTCTAGGAAATGTTACCGGGTGCGCCATCTTCCTAATGCTCGCCGAATCTCCCGCAGACTCCGGGCGATGCATTTTGTAAAATTCCAGGGGTGGCTTCTAACAGAAATGTAAATAAAAGTAACTAATTTTAACAAAACCGGCGCTGCTTGTTTATTTCAGTTTGGGGAAATACCAACAAATTTAGACGGTGATCAACCGTTCTCATGTAAAATAACGCAACTGTTTAACTTTATTGACGGTTTAAATGCTCCCCCCCCCCGAAAATGCTCAACAGCCGGTAAGTGAGGCTGCAGTGCTAGCTAACGTTAGCCAGCAACCCAGACGCACTCGTCCTTTTGTGTATTTAACTACACACAGTTCAACATACCTTTGCTTTTATGTTACTGGCTCTGCACCTATTTAAGCTGATATACTTGCGACAAATATACAGCTCGTATATAATGCACGTCCACCAATAATCTCCATCACTGCAAAGCAAGTCGCATTATTTTAAAATTACTAGTTAAGTAGTCAAATCAGAAAAGCCGTGGGCAAAGAACGGTCCTTTTCAGCAGAGCCTCCACCGTCTGATTAACACTGTAATTCTTTGCTCCACTCCAGCATGCTTTTTTTCGTTTCTTTTTTTTTTTTTTAATCCAACATTAGCCGTTTCACCCTCTTTCTGAAGCCACCTTCTTCCACTGGGCTGACTATTTCTATGACTATGAGACGGGGAGGGGAGAGGAGGGATGGGAAGGGGAGGGGGAAGATTGGTGAACATGGCCGCCGCGCAGGCGTCCTGGCGTCTCATAGCACCCAGACATAAAGCAGTCTGGGAGAGGAGGAGGGACTCGGTATGTGACCCGGAAAAACCCGAAAGCGAGTGGCCATGTGAGTCGAATAGAAACGAGTCCTGAACGGAAAATTCCGAGCCCTCTCCAAGCATGGGAAAGGGAGTGTCTGTCTTTTGTCTTATCTGTCGGCACTGTATTTCATAATTTCTGTATATAACATGTAAAGGTAGCAGAATATCAGCAGTTGTTCAGTGACATGTTTCATTGAAGTGATTGTTATAACTTAAACGGAAATACGGAGAACACGATGATGAAGTAATAATATGATTAACTTACGGTAAAGTTCGTAGATGGGCGTTGTCTTGCTTGTCTGAATGAATGAAATACATCCAATACAACTACCCACGAGTTAAAATTAATTGTGACGCCTGTGCTAATTTATTGCACCATGACAACTAAAAGAAACAAGTACGACTCTTTGAACGCAGGGGAAAAAACTATTTATTCAATTTGAATGCTCAACGGTAGGAAATAGCTCTTTACGGCAGTTTTTTCCACCATCAGAATCAGAATCAGAAAAACTTTATTGATCCCGGAGGAAATTGCTCATGTTACTACTAAACGGTCACACAGAGACACAGGACAAGAACATATAAGAAAAAAATATATATGAGCATGTATTTATCCAAACAAACAAATACCTTTTATGCCGTATATGTTGAATGAATGAGAAGGAGGACAGCGGAAGGGTGAGTATGTAGGGAGTAGATTTGGTGAAGGTGGAGGAGTTTAAATACTTGGGGTCAACACAACAGTTCAGAGCAAGGAGGAGTGTGGAAGAGAGGTGAAGAAGAGAGTGCAGGCAGGGTGGAGAAGAGTGGCAGGAGTGATTTATGACAGCAAGAGTGAAAGGGAAGGTTTACAAGATGGTAGTGAGACCAACTATGTTACATGGGCTAGAGACGATGGCACTGATGAAAAGGCAGGAGGCAGAGCTGGAGGTAGCTGAGTTAAAGATGTTAAGATTTGAGTTGGGAGTGATAAGGATGGACAGGATTAGGAATGACTGTATTAGAGGGACAGCTCAGGTTGGACGGTCTGGAGACAAAGCCAGAGAGGTGAGATTGTGTTGATTTGGACACGTACAGAGGAGAGATGCGGGGTATGTGGAGAGAAGGATGCTGAGGATAGAGCTGCCAGGCAAGAGGAAAAGGGGAAGACCTAAGAGGGGGGTTATGGATGTGGTGAGAGAGGACATGCAGGTGACTGGTGTGAAAGGGGAAGATACAGAGGACAGGAAGAAATGGGAACATGATCAGCTATAGCGACCCCTAACGGGAACAGCCAAAAGAAGAAGAAGAAGAAGAGTCTTATGGGGAAATAAGAAAATATATTTTAGCACTGACTTACTAATCAGCTCTGGAAAGACTTTCCTATTTGGAAATATTTTCCCTCAAGGTTTTAGACATTTACACCTCTTAATATATTACTCAGCTGAGTAATGTGGTTACTTGAGATTGCATTCTCAAAATTTTGGACTCGGGGGCCGTATTACAGAACCATCCTAATTTGCACATCTTAATTTAAGACTTAAGATAGGATTTCTTGTAAAAGGCCCCAATTTTTTTGAATAAATTAAAGAGCTGTTGGGTGGTAACAACAGTAATGTTATGTCACAGTCTGTCTAGTAAAATACACCCACTTTATATTTTAATCTAGAATAAAGACTGCTTTATAGTATCTTGTTTTATTCTGACCTATACTTGAAATGATGTAGGAAATGCCCGAATTGAAAAAAAATCTAATATCAGAAATCATACCAGGCATGAGTGGAGTATAATAATATTATAGGACAAGTGGGTATAAAAAAGTGAATGAATGGATGGATATCACTGAATATCTCCTACAGCTCAGATCCTCCCCCAGGCAGCACAGGGCAAAGGAACAGCCTGGACGGGATGCCGGTCCAACCCAACCTTACTGATGTAATGAAATACTTAATGCCCTTTCTCATCGGAATTGCTTTAACACCATGTTTTCAAATATGGACCGTTGAATGTTCTATGTGGCTTGCGTGAATCAGGGGCATAGATTTGGCTATAGACGATATACACAGATGTCCCTAGCGCTAATATTGCGGTAGTACAGTGTGTGTTTAGGGTAGCGGAGGGTGTAGGGTTGATCTGTTCCCTATCAGTGTTGAAACAACCTTACGCCCTTGGCGTTAATTAATGAAAAATAATATCGGTATCGGTAATCTCCCCAGCAGGATGATTTTATAATGTACTGTAGATTGGCCTACGCTGATTTAAAAAATGACCGCATTACCAATTTTTAAATTACAGTTAAAAAGAAGCCTTTAATTTTTCCACTGGGAGGCACTAGAATACTGAAGGAATATAATTTTCGGGGCCGCTATCTGACTCACTTGTCAAAAATGTAATGAACGATATACGTGAATTACTGGTAGGGTTGCCACCCATCCCTTATAACACGGTATCGTCCAGCATTGGAAAATAAACTGCTGCGTCCCGTATTATATAGGACGATCCCGCATTATAAGGGACGGGTGCCAACCCTTATTACTGGCGAAACAAGAAATCGCAGCACGTTTTAAATCGTAGTCAGTAGAACAGAAATGCTGCTGTGAATGCTAGCCAGCGTAAATCGTACTCGGATAGTGGATTTGTGTGGAAATTCATGCTCAGAGATGCCAGCTGTGGCCACGAGAAATGCAATTGCAGGATTTCAGTTTTCTTTCTTCGTCAATACTTGGTGATGAACCTCATGAATTACACGGATCGGCAGCTATATATGTTACTGAAACTGACATCTGGCAGGTGAACTTCTGTTATTTGAAATGCCATGGTTTGTCATCAGGCGTCGTTTTTATCGTATTAGCCTCATTAAATTTCCGTAATTAATAAATTAGAAACATTTTCCCCTTCCAGACTAAACTTTAGAAGTGCTAGTGACGTTTTTTTTGGCGTACTATACATAGATCAGCCCACCTGAGACTGAATGGCCCCTTAACCGAAATTAGTTTGAAACCCTTGTTTTAGTGACTCCTAGACAGTGACAAATTCGGCGGTGCAGAGTGACACTCCATGAAAGCAGACAAAGGAGCGAGGCAGCGGGTCTATAATGATGATTCATTGCACCAAATCCAATTTAATATTTAAATGAAAACACATCAGTTCCGCAGAATGACGCAACTAGCACTTGTTCATCAGCCGTAAAAGTAACAACAGAATAATAAAATAAATGTTATACTTGGCACATTTTGCATGTTTATTCCAAGTATAGATGCATATGTATAAAACTATATATTATGCAAAACAGGTTATGGCAACTTATAAATGCAGTAAGATAATTAATATTGTATTGATAATGTATCATTGATATTGTTTTGATAAAGTATTTCTCGTTGTTCTGCAAACCTGCATGACTTGATATTTAAATTATCTTACAACATTTTGTAATGCTTAACATCTTTCTGTAGTATCACTATATATTCTATTCAAGATGTCTTCTCAGGGTCTATACAGGATATTTAATCTGTGTACTGCATAACCTTTAAATTTGCTTTCACGTTGTTTGCACTTTGTGTACTCTCTTTGCATCAATTGTCTGGCATTCTGTGTTCGTCTGGACACAACGTTCTTGCTAATGTACGCATCAGAATTCCCCCTGGGATCAATGAAGTACATCTTGATCTTAATTTATCTTCCAACTATTACGATTCAATCCAAGCAATCGACAATGAGGTCGAAGGGCAGGAATCACCACTTTTACTTGTCCATTGACTGTAGGAACTCCGCACTTTTAGAACAACAGGGCGATAGTCGCGAGTCTGTAACGTGTCAGATAATGAGACGGCGAAACACAAAACCGTAAGTATAGTACTGTACACTCAGGAATAATACATAACAAGCTCAGAAGAAGATGGATTGCTTCGATTACGACAGCACTGTAATTATTTCGAATATGAATTAATTAATGCTTCGTATACTGGTTGCTTGGTAATGTAAAATGATTAGAAGTTCACCTTTTTGTTTGCCGTGACAAGGGTGACTGCGCTTCAACCCTAAATGCCATTTCGGTCGCGTCGTACTGTTTGACCCTTCAGAGCCACCGTTATAAATTTAAGCTCGATTCGTACTGTTGCTACCTTATGTTAGCCAGCTCCTCAGTTAGCTGAAATAACGGCTTCATATTAATCTTTTCAGAAACAAACTTACATAATTATGTCTGAAAAGGGCGAAGTTGATTTAACAGGGGCCAAACAGAATACTGGTGTGTGGCTGGTGAAGGTACGTAGTTCTCCTTAACTACTATAGTGTTCGCATGCTAATGCTCGTCAGCTAATCGGTGTTTTTCTACATATCATGGAACAATTAGGGCTCGAAAATGTTTTTCGCTAGTAACCTATGAAGGTTACAGCTTTGAGTCTAATTAAGCACGGATATGTTTGCTTTGGAATACGTGTGTAATTCCATTTAAAAATCCCAAATTATGCTAACAAACGCGATCAAAACTTTAGCCAGTAAATTGGAATTAACATTTTGTTTAATATATTTTAAATTGTGCATGCTTATGAGATTTAATGGGTCGGGAAGGTTTGTCACTGCAGCAAACTCCTGTCCTATTGTAGGTGCCAAAGTACCTCTCTCAACAGTGGGCAAAAGCATCGGGAAGAGGGGAAGTCGGCAAACTCAGAATTGTAAAGTAAGGAACTAAGGATGTGTTCCACTCACACGTCCCTGCAACGTTTTCTTTTACACGTTGTAAGCTGTCTGATGTTTAATAAACCGCTTTTTACAATTGTGTAATGTAGGTGTGTTCAGATTTTTCTACCACATTTACTTATTTACTTGCCATATTGCTTAATGCAGTTTTTCTTTCTTTCTTTTTTTTCTTCTTTTTTTACATAAACCAAAGGAACCAAGGAAAAGCTGAGGTAAGTGTCACCTGATATCATAACTGATTGATCTTCTATAAATGCCACACGACTCCATCAGATGACGTGGTGAAGCATTGCTCAGCGTGATGTGTCCCTCCCCAGGTTTCTTTCACTCTGAATGAGGAGCTTACAGCGATTGATTGTGTTGGGGAGAAAGCGTCTTCGGTACGCGCCCCCAGGGACCACCCTTTCACCATGCAGACAGTTGGTGGTCAGACACTGGCTGTCTTCACTGAGAATCCTTCAGGTAAAGCCTGGGATCGAGTTGTCATTGCTGAATCGAGGGGGTACTCCCATTTACACAGATAAGATTCCCGAAAGCTTGAAGTGATTTTTTTATAGCAGTGTTTCTGGCTTTTGGTGTGTGCTAGTGTAGCATGGTTATTAAAACCCAGTAACACAATGCAGGTTATTATAGGATTCACTAGTAGGTTTATACATTCTACGATCATCTGCTGACCTTATCCACTAGATTGGGCATTTGCCAGAAAAAAAATGTATCAGTATGAGACTAAACATTTGTTTTTGTGTCAGCTTCATCTGTGTATCATGTTTAATTAATGTCATCCAAGCTGTTGTCTTAATTTATTACTGATTTGACAGAATATAAGTAACACAATTTATAGGATGTTCATGTCCATGAATGACTTAAGTTATAAATAAATTGCACTCTTTCCACTAGGCTTTTTGTCCTTGTGGCTATTGAGTTTTACATCTAGCTCTTGTAAGCAGCAAATACTGATTAAGTAGTTGCTAAGCAACAGGTTTTTCACAGAGTATGCGAATGAATAACAGGCTGTGCTAAAATGCGCAGCGCTATATAAAGCTCCACTGTGCATTCTCTGAATTGAAACTTATGAATTATTATGAATTAAGTTAAGGCACTTTGCTTCTGATTGTGATTGTTCATGCTTCAGATGTTTTGGGCAGGATATCCTTGTGGACAAATGTTCCTTTTTTTTAATAAAAAGTAGCCAAGCGATAGAAATGGAAAGTCAGCCATTGGAGTGTCGTCTGCCAGTGTGGCCAGTGTAATGGTGGAATTGACCTTTTGAATTTGGGTGGGTGGCGGGGGGGGACGTTTGCTTGGCGCTGATCTCTCTGCTTGCCCCTATCTCTGCTATTGGGCTTCAGGGATTTCATGCTTGTCATACTTTGATGCTGAGTTGTATTGCCCTTGTCTACTGAGGTGTCACCTTTCCATGCAGGTTAATTTGATATATCACAGGTTAGTGTAGCTTTGAGTTGCAATCAAGATGTGCAAATTGGGATATTACCTGCTTGATAATGTTGAGTGCTCTAGATAAGTTGACGGGTTATTTTGAATATTTTGCTGTAAATAACTAGATAGATTAAATTTATGTTCGATTTTAAAGTGTCTGATGGCTTTAGAGATTCCCTTTCCATTGCACTAATTTGCTTTTCACTCTTGGGTAATATATGTGTTGAACTTAGAAGTTTAAAATTTCTTTCACAGATTTCCTAGAAAAGGGAATGGAAGGGAAGGAATAGGAAGTCAGAAAGTAACAATGTGATTTCTCTTTGTCATTACTGTGGTCATTTCACGGTAGTTTCAGGTGTTCAGAGAGATGATCTATATTATTGTCAAAATGTATTCATTATGAATTATCCTACCCTATGGATTTTCTTGTTTAATATCAGCAATTTGAGTTTAATGAATTTCACAACAAAGTTGTTCACTCAGTTGTAATATCCTGAAGGAACACTGTTCCCCTCTCTGCTGATTTGTATCCAGCATACATTTTGCAGTTTGTTCCAGTTCTTTTTTTTTTTAACCTGTTAAAGGATTGATAGCTTTGCTTGTGTGTTTGGCTAAATCAAAATGTGGGTGAAGGTTACAGTACTGTTTGTATTTTATTATGTGTCTGCATACATTCTATGTTGTTTGCAAGTGTTGTGAAGAGTAAAATTGGGGGGTTCTAGATTGTGGGTGCATTGCATGCAATTCTGAACAAGACGTCACCTATTTGCCACTGCTTGCTCTGCGTCCCTTGGGATGTTGCGTGCACTTTACTAATGGCCAGGTCTGCATCAGCTGTGTCCTTGTTCTGAATGCCTGTTGACAGCAGCACATTCTCCCTCTTTAGGGCAGTCAGAAGACAGATCTGATGGCAGTGCTCCAGGTGAGTCTTACTGAGACCTCTGGCTTGGACTGGAGACTTCTGAATGCTTCTCAGGGGTTTCGGTCATCAAAGACCTTTTCGGATTAAAAAAAAAAAGTTCCTCTGCAGTCTTACTTATGATTATTAGTTCTGCAGCTTGACTTCCATTAGTAAGTAATCTCTGTATATGACTCACAATAACTCTTTTCCATGACATTCCTTAAAAACAACACTAGAATGTAATGTCCAAAATAAATGTTTTGATATATATATGCTTCCTAATCACAATAAGCAAGTCTCTTGCTTTATCTGTGTTTGAAAAGTATCACCCTATGCGAGACTTGAGTTTATGGAGTGTGTGGAGTGTCTTATACGAAAATGAATATAGCTTTTATCATGTCTGTGTCAGTATGTTACAATATCACTTGTTTCAGTTGTAAATTTTTAAATATCTTGATTGAAACTGCTTAACTGATTAATTTCATTACCAAGCCTTTTAGCAAGCACAGTGCTGTGGTTTCTATAGCTACTAACCCTTTCAATGATCAGTGTGCAGTTTCTATAGCTACTCTGTCTTTCAGCATGAGAAGTACAGATCTTATAAAAATGAACCTTTCAGTGCATAGAACATACATATATATTGATAAGCCAGTGTCATCGTTCATTCTCACTGTTCCGTGGGAGGCTTACAGGTGTTTTAGAGTTTACAGTAGTTTCACGTATTTCTGTAGACAAACACAACCACTACAACTGAGCCATTTTCCATTTTTATTTAAAGGCTAATGTACAAGCTTATAACTTTATTCACTTCACATCTACAAGTAAGGAGATGGACTGAACATTTTAAATATGTAATGCTCATTAAAATATTCTTCTAAACTTCACATTCTTAAACATCAAAGCAGTTTTTTCCCACCATTGAGACACATCATGTACCACTTACACATTAAAATTCATATTGAATATTTGAGAGATTTTCACTAGTTAAAATTAGTTATAAAAGCTGAGCTCATTACAGAAAGCTTTATATCTGCTGCTGAATTTCAGAATCAACTAGTCTCACATAAAGCAGAATAATTGCCATAATTACATCTAAGTCCTGTCATTCAATGCAAGAGAAGCTGAAGTGGCTTTACTTGGGTAAAGATATATACTGAGTAAAAAGATTTTTTTCTTTTTGATGGCCCTTTAATTGCAAATGCTTTTGACGAATGTTCCTACGCTCACTTGACAAAGTGTAGAGCCTCGCATTGAACCGCTGAGCCGTGGGTGCTATCCAGACTGGTGAGGAGGCGATAGCCACCTCTTAGTGCTAGCATCATTATTTCCAGTTTTAGGCTCTCGGCCGTACAAACAAAGGTGCTGTCCTTCATTATAATCAGCCGGGAGCCTGCCTCTGACTTAATGAAGTGGCGGAACTGAATGATGTTGGACGAGACCTCAAACTCCTTAGGAAAAACATCCAGCCGGCTTTTGGACACCTGCAGCAGACGCCCCTTCACCGCGTCGATCATCCCGGGGTCGCTGCAGTAGACCTTCAGGCCCTGCGATCGCTCATGGCTGTCTGTAACCTCCAGAAAAGCAGGGTCCTGTTTAGCACTCTGATGCTGCTCCCAGTCCTCTATAGCCAGGACCATCGCTCCCAGGTGGTAGAACTCGGCTTCACGTCGCAGAAGCCCTGCTTCCTTGAAGTCGTTGGGCAACATGAGTTCGCCAAGTCGCAGGAAGTTTAGAACGTGACGGAAGACGAGTCCATCCCGGTCGATGAAGGTGTTCCCCATGGAGTCCACATGCTGCACCGGTTTTTTCCCGTTGGCAATCTCTTCCAGCAGGGATCCTTGGTGCCTGGCCAGTGTCTGCCTTAGGGCCGCGTATAGGTGACCCCCCACGTTCAGAGTGATGGTACTAGACGAGGATCTTTTGATGCTCTTGCTGGACTGCAACAGGTCGGGATTGAGGTGCTTCCCTTGGTTCTCCATCCTGGCGAGGTGCTGCTCTGTGCCGTGCCGAGCTCCCAGCCTCCCACACAGCCATGTGAATGAGAGGGAGTGAGCGAGCGAGCTGGGTGGCGTCTGAGCACTGCTGGCCTTGATAGGGAACGATGTAAACTGCCAGCAGCGTGGGAGCTGTTTAAAGGCGTGCCTCCGAAGAGGGCGGGCTTCCTGGGAGGGGGACGGCTGCCAGAGAAGGATGCTCGCTCGCCCCCTGTTTGAAAGACTGCTTTTAGTTTTACTCCATCTGTTTGCCCTTAAGAACGGATAACGAGGGTGCTTGATTCTAATTGAGGGAACAAAAAAAAAAATGCTGGTATGTACATCCTCAGACTTTTATTTTTATCTTCTTGTAGGTTAGAAGTTCTTTTCATGACACAACAGATGAGGACCGACGAAATTAGTCATTAGGATCATTTATGTTCTTCAGAATGTTTGAAGATTGCTCTTTAAAAAGTGCTTGCAAACCAAATGCAAACTGTTTCCTCCGACTTAATTTAGTATATACAATTGTTGTTCAACTATGGAAAAAAAATCCTTTTTTTGCTGACACTTTTTAGCTATAATGTTGAATAGTAATGCATTGTAGAGAGTCCTGATTTGAATGATTCCTCATGAATAGCACCTATTGAGAATTAGGCCTAAATTCTGACAGAACTGCTTGCAAAAAAGTGTTTGCCTATAATATATTATATTTGCACAGGATATCAGATGTTGGCAAAATGCTTGATACCCTAGTAAATGATCACCTTGCTCCATTTCATTTCTTTATCCACGTTTTGAACTAACTGTGTAAAAGGAAATTATATTTTCTTTTTTTTTATTCCAACAATTAAACATCTTTGTTGCTATCATCTTTGTAGGACCATCGGCATAGACAGCATGAAGAGAAGGATTGGTTGTTTTCCAGCTCATCAGAGATTTTTCCATTCCATGTGTTGATTATGAAACGGCCAGTATCTAATTAGTGCTAACTGGGGTGGTCCAACACAAACCATGGTGCATTTAAATTGTATGGAATATAGGGAGGTTCAGTCGCATGCAAAATGTGTGGATCCTATAATTGATGGGAAAATGATTGAGCAGCTCTGAAGCATTTGAATATCATTCAGCTCTGCTGGCTGTTAGATCCAGACTTTCTGTTGTGGGTGAAATTCTGAGTGGGTAAGATTGGAATGAAATGGAATTTGTCTCAGGCTGCATTAACCCATCCATCCATTTTCTGTAACTACTTGTCCTGTTCAGGGTTGTGGGGGGGGGTCCCGAGCCTGTCCCAGTCCCAAGGCAGGGAACAACCCAGTAAGGGGCACCAACCCATCACAGGGCACACAGACGCCCAAGGGCAATTTAGTCACTCCAATTCACCTCGGCATGTTTTTAGACTATAGGGGAGACCAGATTACCCAGAGGAAACCCCACAATGACACAGGGAGGACATGCAAACTCCACACTCGGAGCCATGGCGGAGACTCGAACCCAGGTTCCAGAAGTGTGCCGCGACAGTGCTAACCACTGTACCGACGTGTTGCCCCTGGCTGGGCTAACCCCTCTTTTCAATAGTTGTCTTGACGTTAAACTCATCATTTTAATTGGTATTGTGTTTGTGTATTTGCTAATGCATCTGCCCCTTGATATAAAATTGGCTTGGTATTGGGATTGTGACTTATTCGAGCCTGGAGAATTGATACCATTTGGAGTTAGAAAGTGAACAAAACCTTCCAGAGCTCCTGTGTACTCCTTGTCCCCACTCCTCCGTTACCAGCTGGCTGCTCGGCACTCTCCTCCCTCCCCTTCACCTCCATACGATTCTTCCTGAAATGCCATGGCAATTGTTCAGTCATACCACCATCCCCATTCTGTGTAATTCTAACATAGTGGTAAGAGAGAGCAGCTATTCACACGTCTCGTAATTATGAATCGGTAATCATCAACTTTTGTGAGAAGGACTCGCAGCACAGAATAATATTTTAATAGTTTCATATGTTTTAGGTTTATTTCTGAGGGAATTTTGCTTTTCTGGAGCAAGTGGTAATTCTCCCATATGATGATGGAAAATTATTGATTTGATTATATTTTTTTCACCTTCCAAACTGATTTTTATTAAATGAAATAGGTTTGTAAATCAAGGAGTTAATGTGCTCATCTCTATTTAAATAATGCAATTATAGATTTTTTTTCAGGATTAGACACTTTACGTAATGGGGCACAAATACTTAGTAATATGTCAGGTACTACTGAAGTACAAATCATAAATCATGAACAAATATGGTTGCTACTTGAGATAAGGTGTGTCGTGATTCATTAATGATGAACAAACATGAGATCAGTATTTAACTTGTGATTTTCATGACTTGTTCCTACAGTAGTTCCTTCAGTAGTTCCCAAAGTTTTGCAGAATGACCAGATATAGCAACAAATATAATCACTGCTTGAGAGAACATTTGTCACAATTCATTAATGATGAATTAATGTGAGATCAGTTTGTAACTAAGACTTAGTTTGTGGTTAATACATAAATAATAGTGTAACACTATGTTGTATGTGCCCCGTCAAGTAAAGTGTTACTGATTAATTTACTCTCAGCACTACGGTGTGATATGATGAAAGGTGGTTTTGCTGTTGATCGTAACATTACTGAATTTTTCTAATGACGTATTTATTATTCAGTGTGTTCAGCCACTGCAAAAGTATATGGTGTAAGAAGCAATAAATCATGCATATTTTAAGCGAAGGAATAAAGGATGTGCTTGTCTTGTGTAAGTAGCAGTGGGGGGGGGGTGTGAATGACTCGCACATTGTACTGTTTAGGCAGATTGCCAAGTTCTTGAAATGCAGGTTTTTTTTTTGTTTTATTCTTATAGCAAGTTCTAGTGTTTTCTAGCATGCATTTTTTAAAATCATTGTAGAATGATGGAGCTCTTAAAAAGTGTCTGTCAACATGCATTGACTGTCAGTGAATACTTTGTAATCTCTCTGTTCTGAAGACAAGCTTGTCCTGGAAGGGGTAGTGGTTCAGCGTGCAGAGTGCAGACCTGCGGTCAGTGAGAACTACATGCAGTTGAAGAGGTTGGTACCCCTCCCTACTCCCAAATATGACACCACTTGCATACTGACAAAGTTACGCAGTTGGGCTCATCCGTTACTGAATTTGTGCTCATCCGATCCAGGCTACAGATCGAGGAGTCGTCCAAACCGGTCCGTCTGTCACAGCAGCTGGAGAAGCCCGTCACCACAAACTACAAGCCTGTCTCTAATCATACTTACAACGTAAGTCTCTTCGACATGCACGTGTAGCATGACATTCTTGTAGGAGGGCATCCTAGCTATATGGAGGCTGTCTTTGTCTGCACCCCCCCGTGTAGGTGGAGTATGAGAAGAAGAAGAAGGAAGAGGGCAAACGGGCACGTGGTGACAAGCAGCAGGTCTTGGATATGCTCTTCTCCGCTTTCGAGAAGCACCAGTACTACAACATAAAAGACCTAGTAGATATCACCAAGCAGCCTGTGGTGAGTTTGCCCTCCTGAGTGGAAAAGTGTGAAATCTGATGGTCAGATGCTCGTTTTGGGTTAACTTGTTGATTGCTCATATGTACATGACAGTTTTACTTTCTAGGCCACTGTAAATATCTTTACTTGGAATGCAGTCTGAAATATTTAAATTTTTATTATGAGTAAATCTTAACATGGAGGGGAAAAAAAAGTCTAAAGTTGGCTACACACGAAGCCAAACGCAAAAAAAATTAGTTCCAACCAAGGCTGATGAATGGTCAGCTCCCTTCGATTGTGAAAATTTGAGCTGGAAAACACGAAAGCACGGCGAGAGGTGACGACTGACATGTAGCCCATTCAGAGAACTGTTTCACACACTCGCTACAACGGCAATTCATTGCGCTAAATAGGGCAAAACGCCACAAACGAGGGCAGACTATGTTTGACCGTGCTGCACACACTGGGCAATCCCCGACTCGCCAACAGTCCGACGGCTTCGCAACACCGATAATCGGCTCTGTGTGTCCCAGGCTTAAGATCCGTGTCCTGTGTGCACTTCTAGGATGAGTATCTAGGCTATAACAGTTCATGTATTTAAAGATTTTATGTGTTGTTTCCATTCTTGTTATCTTTCTGTTACTATAGACATTCCTGAAGGAGATTCTGCACGACATTGGAATCTACAATGTGAAGGGAACGCACAAAAACACATGGGAGCTGAGGCCAGAGTACCGACATTACCAAGGGGAAGAGAAAAGTGACTAGGGACAGACTTACTGCAGCGTTTTAGTAGCAGAACCAGTTGCTTCTGTGGGCTGAGTGTTTTTTTAGTTGGCACTGAGATGTTCACTTATTTTTTTTTCCTAACCCTTACATTGTGTAGTTTTTGTTTACCGTTTGTATTTGTAACTGGGGGGGTGTACTGCAATGTACTGTGCGTGCCATTTTACAGTTTGTAAATATCTTCAATCAAGTGAAACGCTTGTATAAAATGTTAAATGATTAGCAATGTGAGGTGACTGTTACACCTTAGACTGCCGTTGGATGTGGAACCGTATGGCAATTGGTTCCCAGCCATTAATATTTATATCAATGAATCCTTGGTTCTGCAGTATTGTAGTCGGCCTTTCTGTGTTCATTTTCATGCAGTGCTGCTTGAGGCTACGTGCTTCAGGGTTCAAACATTTGGAGTCCTGCTGAAGTGTAAGCACCAAATACTCCATCATCTAGCTTTAAGCTTCGTTAGCTTGGATGTCCAAGTAGCATCAAACAGCCACAACAAATTTATTTCGAAAGTCAATTGAAAATGCACAGCATGGAAACCCTTTTTCAATACAAGGCACTAATTTAGATTCACTTGAAATAGCAGTCAGGGATGCTAGAGAATCATGTGAATTGTCCATGCAGAGTGACTTTCACAGAGATTGGCAACTTGTGGCATTCAGCTCCTGAAGGCCTCAGGCCTGTTCACTCCATTGGGCATCTTAATCTGGTCCTGACCCTACAGTGACGCATACACTCCATGTGCCCGATGATCAGCAGTTGCAGTGTAAGTCTACTATCTCCTGCAACAAAGCGATTTTTAGTTTTTACCAATCTTGCCTATACAGAAGAATATACGATGCAACGGGTCTGGATTGAGGCTCAATATTCATAGCAGAGGGCTGTAGTCTTCTGGTTGTCTGTCCTACAAGGGTGTGTTCCATAATCTAATCCAATCTGCAAATCAGAAGCTAATAACTTTCTTGCATCCAAATGCAAAACCAGAATCTAAGACAACTGACTTCAGGTCTATCAGTGGATGCCAAGGACAAAATATCTGACAGATCCTTTAACCCTTTCAGGCTCAAATTAAGTTTTAGTAACGACAGGACAACCAAGTCCTGCAGTGGTACTTCTGAGTAAAAAAAACTCATAAAATATGTATGTGGGGTAATAAGGTAGTTAGTTTTTAACTGTTGCAAATCAGCAACGCCTGCCTTGAGAGGGTTAAGTGCCAATGAGGACCTGTGGTTGTATAGGTAGTGCTTACATCTGTTGATCTCCAGGAGATCTCTGAAGAAGACTGTAACCCTCTTGGTTCATGAACTTGCCAATGGGGGACGAAGGGCAGTATACTGATAAATGCCTCCTACACATAAAATGGCGAAGAGCTTCCAGTATCAAATGCAGTCTAGCACTTGGGAAGAATGTTTTTTTAAAACCAGCAAGACAAAGGGTTAGATTATCTAGGCAGTTCTCCAACTTCACATTCTGTTAAAAAATATTAATTAAATATTCATAAAAATGTTACAGCTTTGATGGACGATAATAAATATTAACGTTTTCAAGCCATCTTCAAGCAACAGTGCTGGAAATCTGAAACCTGCACCCCATATAGGTCTAATGGAAAATGCATAGAAACGGGTATTGTCCATTTGATCTTATCCACATTATTAAAAAAGGATTATATATTTTTTTTTACATTTTCAATTATGATACACATACCATAGTAGGCATGACACATATTCCATCATTTTGTCTTTGATATTCATTTTTACAGTTTGTGAAAGTCCATCTGTGTTCACATCACATTTATAAGGGCTTTGTCATAGTCTTCTGTTCTACTGGTTATCTTAAAGATGAAAATAGAGGTGACGTTCCATTGAGTGTTTAGTTTTCATCTTCATTCACATCTTATTTTATAACTCTCACATAGTTAAATATGGAAACAATAAACACAGGACAATGAGTTATTACAAATACAGCATTGCTAGCTTTTGTCAGCCGGCTGGCGTGAGATTTTCAATTCAAGACAAGTCTGCATACACTGCATTCACATTTACAGGTATGTGACACCTGGTAAATAGTCTGCAGGGTTTGCAAACTGCCCCAATTCTTTTGATGTACCTAATAGTAAGTTTATGGTAGAATAATATAGATTTGCCTTTAAATTTCTTGCGAGTCTAAAAGCGTGAGTGTCACGCCAGATGCCTGATAGTTGGCAGCCCAGCTCGCACTGCACACAAACTCCGAGCACCAAATAAAACTTCTCAGATACCCACAAGCTACATACATCCAGGAACAGGCTAGGCAGTGCGGTGACGAAATGGTCACAGGACACTAACACTATATAGCCTACGCCGAATCCATCTTCCAGACACTTATGCAGCGGAGTTGCGGGGGGCGCCTGGAGTCTGTCCCAGAAAGCACAGGGGCAGAAGGCAGGGGGACAACGTGTGTCGTCAGTGAAACAGCGGAATATTCATATGTTTCCTCTATCATCTGTTAGGGAAAAGTAAACCGTGCAGATATATTTTCGACCGCATTTTTCG